GAGAGAGAGAGGGAGGGAGGGAGAGAGAGAACAGACTAGTATAGAACAGAAGAACCTTACCTGAGAATAGTTGCCATGTCTATCGGATGAGAGTTGCCGTGTTGGGTGTGGAGCGTACCCTGGCCCTGTCTGTGGAGGCTGTCCATCTACGGTCAGACTGGGGTCTGATGTGGACCGACCCATCTATAGCAGGAACAGTATACATACCAGCTTCAATGTTTTGTACAGAAAAAGCAAAAGAACATTTCTTGTTGCCCTTGTCTGAAAGTGTGGTTCTTGACAGTGGATATTCTAAATATCCAAATTAATGCAATTTGCAGTTGTTTTCATCGAACCTTCCATTAATTTTATGCTACTTCCCAGAAAGGGAAAATTAAACTAAACATGCTTACAAATGTCATGGGTTGAAATACTGAGTGAACATGTACTTCTGTGCATCTAAGATTGGAGCTGTGCACCTTATTCTTAACCGTGGGTGCATCTAGTCTAAGGCATTTGTGTAGTGTTAAATACACAAAAGTACTACTATATAGCAATTAAAGGTCAGAAAAAAATGATAAAACCTTTCTTGCATTACTTGCTTAAAATTTTCAAGCTAGTGTCTCAGATCCAAGCTCTGAAGGGGTAAGAACTAGAAAGGTTTGTAGTTAGATTTTGCTGACATTCTACTTCATTTGATGTTATGAAATTAACTAGAACTCACCCGTCCCGACCCGGTGTCTGCCCATGTTTCAGACCCACTGTTGAACATACTGACAGGACGACTCGTACTGTCCACCGCCGCGGCCAGGTTTCCTTCTGACGAAGACGCATATGAGAAACGTGCCGACATGGGGAACAGGAAGTCATCTTCTACATTGTCTTCCATCTATAAATAAATAATAAATAAATAAATCTACATGGTAGGATAGTATAAGTATTATACAGATGGTATCAAAATGGATACAACATGTGCAAAATGTATTACAGTTATATCAAAGAAGGATCACAAATATGCAATAAAAGGGGACAGCTTGATGTTTTTATCTCAACTGCACATTCAGCAACAGGTAGAAATATAAGATTTCTTACATTCTCGTTTTCCCCCAGGTTTTTTTCTATCTATCCTAGACATTTTCATCCCTCCATCTCTTCATTTATCCCTTTCTCTCTTTCAAATCATCCACTTGCCATCCATCCGTCCCTTTTGTCTTCCATTCTTCCCTCCCTACCCCTCATCTGTACTTCCATCATTTCTTCTTTCAACCCATCATTCTCCATCATTCATTCATTCATTCATTCATTCATTCATTCATTCATTCATTCATTCATTCATTCATTCATTCATTCATTCATTCATTCATTCATTCATTCATTCATTCATTCATTCATTCACTCACTCACTCACTCACTCATTCATTCATTTATTCACTTCCTTCCTCCCTCCATCAGGTACCTTGTTTTCAGACATCCAGACAGGTTGTGACTGCTGTTTACGGATGATGTCCTTCACCTTGCTGTACCAGGCATCGTTATTGGACAGATGAACCACAGCTGTGGACCAATCATAGATGTTGTTAGTCCACAAAACAAAAATGTTCTTTTCTCAACCATTCTTTATTTACCCTCTGGCAGTGGTCAACATCAGTGATGCAGTGATGTATTTCATTCCTTTTATATGTGATGTTGCCACTGAATTAAAACCATTTGTACAATTACTGAAAACTTTTATTTTCAGTGTCAAATGGGTATTGTAAAATAGTTGGCACAATATAGGTATCATTTCTTGTTTAACAAGCTTTACGATGTCAAAATTTGAAAATGTAGGAACCGTGTTTTCTTTTGGCTTGCCTTATTTTTCGCCAAGCTTTTTTTCCCTATCACATTTAGATTTAGACTCAGTGGAGGATGTCGTCCATAAAATTTACTTGCTTTGGCCTATCTTAAAAAAAAACAAATATTGCCAAAAACTCCCATGCGACACTAACCTGTGAACAGGTGAGAATACCCCTGCTTTAACTTCATGGCCTGTTCGAAGAGTTTGCGTGAACTCTTGTTGGATCCCTTCGCGATCCGTGAGCGGAGGTCCTTGACGGTTTGCTTGTTGTCTGGTTGGAGGAAGATGACTATCGGGTATAGTTGCGCGTAGTTCAGTCTGTCTACTGCGTTAGGAGTGATGTCCAGCACACAGTGTTTACCCTACAGGACAAAACAGTTTGTTTGTTAGAACCATTTTTCATTCATGAGATGCTCAAGTTTTTAATATCTTTTATTTACTTCATGGTTCACCGCAAAACAAGGCTCGTGAGAGCCACTCAAATGCTTTGGGTTACTGTACAGCAAGTGAGGACAGATGTTTGTTGACCTACAGACATTAGGCTGTAATCACCAACTTAAAACACCTTGTCCTGCGGAGCCCATACATATATATAGGTTACATGGGTTGTACATACAGTACCATCTATATAGTGCCCTGTATATGTACGATTTGGGGGTATGTATTTCTCGTGCAACGCATCACACTGCAGCGAAACACAGTGATTGCAGAAGTAACAACGCCACCGCGGGGCAAAAAAAGTCAAGGGTCTGTGACCTGATTAAGAAATGATATTATTGAAAATATTGTGTACAAAATGCCAGCAGGAAAAGGGTTAAAACTGACATGGTATTAACTATCCTGCAAACAGAACTGAATTTACAGTTAACAAAAGCTCACTGTTGTCTCACGTCAAGTTGTTACAGATTCCCCTGACTTTGAGTGTTGAAGAGAAGCTGGCTGGTAGTAACTGTCTGTGTGACATGTCACAGTTGCAGTGCACAATGTGGGTGGCCATTTCAACAACAAGCTGTCAGAATCATGACTGGCTTAGTCTGAAGAAATGTGGGCAACCCTGCCTACTTGCAAAATATACAATGTATTAATAATGCATGTCTTAGCATAAAAGTTCATCTGTGTTGGTACAAGTCATTATGAAAGAAAGACTAAGCTTTAACTTCCACACTAACTAACAAAGTATTGGGACTTACCCCAAATTTTCGGTTGACTCCATCAACCTTGTTCACAGAATGGACCAGTCTACTCTTGGAATGTGACGTCAGAAAATTTGGGGCAAGCCCCAATACTTTGTTAGTTAGTGTTAGAAGTTAAAGCTTAGTCTTCATTTCGTATATGCATGTATTTTATACAATACTGACCTTTTCTACTACATCTCTGATGGCATTCAGCTTTATAATGGTGGATGCTCCACCTTTGGCCTCCTTGTCTTTCTTTATACTTTCTGTGGGTTAAAAAAACAGTTTTTTGACATAAATACACAGCTGGGGCATGTACAATGTACAAGCTCTTCTACATTTCAAAATTGTTGAATACCAACTCTATAAAAACAAGGTTGAAATTTTTAGCTTATTTGGAAATGTTAGCCAACCTCTTATTGGTTACAGTTGTCAGAATGCTCTAGTTAATTTAGAGATGTTAGCCAACTTCCTATTGGCTGTAACAACAAGAATGTTTCTACAGTTGATTTTGAAATGTTATTGTTAGGCAAGTTCCTATTGGTTAAAACTGTCAGAGTTTTCCACCACATGTGGTATTCATCCAATGGAGAGTGTGTTAACTTACGGGCGGAGTCTAGTTTGTCTGGCATCTCCCTCAACAGTCGGTCCCGCGTGACGTCAGCAATCGGTCCAAAGACAACAACAGGCCTCGGAAATCCCGCTGTAAGTACAAGGAAATATTGTGACTGTACATCTCATGTAGTTTTCCTTATCCCTTTCAGTACATTGTACGTACTTCAAATGTTTATAAACAAACTGTAGAAAGCACAAAACCATGTACCACTCAATTGCCAGAAGTACATTGCTACCTTAGTCAATGAAAACAAGAAATAACAGATTTCAATCTTCTGAAAAGTACATATAGTTTACATTAATGAATTACATATCATATGATTTTATGATGAAAATTAATCCACTATTACACTGTGGTTTATGTTTCATACATTTCTTGTGACCATATCCTTGAAACCCAGGATATGCCCGGAAAAAACCCTGTCAATCATATGAAACCCAATCTCTACCCACTCACTTTGGAACCCAAACATACAAACCTAGCATGAATCAGCACCACCCAAATTAATACTTCTGTACCAGAATAAAATTGTACTTACGTTCTTTTAGCACTACCCTCTCATATGCAGGGAACTTTGTAGTTGGACCAGCTGTGAAAAAGTACATGTAACATCTTGTTAATATTTACTCAGTACAACATTAGATTTAATAATGTTTAGATGGATTAATATTGTTAGCATGAAAGTTTGAAAATTAGTAAAAAAACAAATCCATACATTTCACAACAACAACAAAGAGGACCTCAGGTACAAGTTTCAAAGCCAGGAGGTTTAACATGAATCTATATAGCTCATATTCCAGCCTTCATTATGGAAAATAATCTAGATATAAAAACCATTCCATAGAAAATTGTTCCTTTCTAGAAGGCTTGTCATATACAGTGTATAAAAATAATCCTTTAATAAAAATTGTTATAATTCACAGTCTTGAGTCTTTGCTACAACTAAAACATACAGATTTTATACACAAATTTTGTCACATAATTTCTTGCACTCTAAGCAAAATATGCAGTCGTAGCATTTGAGCTCTCAAAGCTGTCTTATCTGCTAATTTAGCATTTTTTGTTAGTGTTTATGATTGGTGGCAATGCACACTTAGTCTAGCAAAGCACCAAACCTAAAAGTACTAATTCTTACATTTTTGCAGCACCATGAAAGCATTACTTTGCTACTAAAGTAGTATCTGAATTACAATCTATTGCAAGCTACAGTACATGTACACTCTATCCTCAAGGTTTGTGTGTAAGGTTGGGAACATTAAGAACAGGTTGGAAGATGATGAATAAGGAATATGAAGATTTTGTTGCCCAGAATATCTTGAAGGTTTGCTGCCCAAATCTTACATGGAGGTCCTTTAAAATCTTACATTGGGCTCCTTTAAATTCTACATCGAGCTCCTTTGAAATCTTACATTGAGCTCATTAAAAATCTTACACTGAGCTCCTTTAAAATCTTGCATTGAGCTCCTTTAAGAAGAAGATGCAAGAAGATGAATACGATACTGCCATACATTTGTAAATTCAAAATGAAAGCTAATCACACAGAGATTTGTTGACCAGATTTTTTTTCAGTTTTGCTGCCAAAATCTTACCCCGAGCCCCTTTAAGACGAGAATGTGAGATGATAGATAAGACAGAGGTACAGGACTTACCATACAGGACAATGTAATTAGCAGGACTGTCAAAGGCTACCGTGCAGTACCGTGGCCGACAAGAACAAAATTTTACACCGCAACTTTTGGTGTTTTACACCGCAACTTTTGGTGTTTTACACTGCAACTTTTGGTGTTTTACACTGCAACTTTGGGTGTTTTACACTGCAACTTTTGCAGTGTTTTACACTGCAACTTTTGCTGTGTTTTACACTGCAACTTTTGCTGTGTTTTACACTGCAACTTTTGGTGTTTTACACTGCAACTTTTGCTGTGTTTTATACTGCAACTTTTGCTGTGTGGAAAACTTACACCCCTCCCCTTTTATAATGGACGGTCCCCCTGTCAGGTCAAAGGTGACAAAGATGGCGGCGGCCTGAGAGTCACAGTGTCTACATTTGTATACGAGCGATCGCTGTTTTTGTTTACATTATACGCATGCAAATTATTTGAAGACATATGCAAATTCTTGGTAGGCAAATCAGCCAACTGGCACCCACTTTTTGCCTACGGTGACGTCATGGCGATCGCTCGTATTGTTCCCTAATGATCGATAACTCGAGATCGAGTCAAGAGTCAACACTTCATAATTGAAAATAAGTCTTTATTGCTTCATAGTACCAAGTGGTGCCACATTTGACTCCCATAGGCCCAATATTTACTCATCAAATTATTAGCGACCTTGCGAGTCCGAATTCTCTAGCTAGAAAATGTCACGTGACTCAAAGGCGGGGAAACGTGGAAGACGAATATCGCCGCATGCAAGCGTTTATGACATCATGCCACGATAGTTTAAGCTAATTACATATTTACGCCTTCAGACAGACATCATTTCTATCATACCATGCGTCGACATCAACACGTAGCGGTGCAAACGTTACCAACATTCACTAGATAGCAACATAATTTGTAATCATTGGACCTGGTCGAAACATTTTTAAATTTATCCCGATCTATAGGCCAAAGCTAGAAAAACCTTTAGAAAAAAACTAACGTCACAACGTAGCCAAGCTTTTCCTCTAAAAAACTTATGCACGAAAAGGATAACTCAGTCGACGTAGTTTGCATGCCATCGTTGTCACCTTTGACCTGACAGGGGACCGTCCATTATAAAAGGGGAGGGGTGTAAGTCTTCCAACACAGCAAAAGTTGCAGTGTAAAACACAGCAAAAGTTGCAGTGTAAAACACCCAAAGTTGCAGTGTAAAACACCAAAAGTTGCAGTGTAAAACACCAAAAGTTGCGGTGTAAAACACCAAAAGTTGCGGTGTAAAATTTTGTTCTTGTCGGCCACGGTAGTGCAGAGTGGAGAATCAGAAGACAGGAGTGAGTGAACAGACAGGACAGACGTGTTACTGAGGTTAGTACACTTCAACACAGCCACACATGCTTTCACCATCCCTCCATAGACATTTTCACAGACCCCTACTGCATGCTGGGAGGTGCAGGGCACCATGGGTAACACTGGAGGAAACAAAATAATTTACCATGTAGTCATGGTACGAATTTTGTTTCTGTGAGCTACCCATGATGCCCTGCATCTCCCAGCATGCATTGGGATCGGTGAAAATGCCTATGATTCAGAACCCCAACCTCACCTACCAGATCTGTTTGTACAATACACAAGCAACAGTCCTCGTAATACAGTTTACAATTTGTCCTTCTGGGTGTGTGCTTGCTTTTGCAAATTGTGTCTTCTTCTTTCATTTTGAGGCAGTCGCCTTCAACTAGCTGAAGATTCTGCTGCCTTTTTGTGGCTAATACGAGATGGGGTTCGCCAGGCCTCCATCCAGGAAAGTATGGGTACAAGATCAGTGAGATGGCAGGGTTCAAACCCAGGACCTCTTGGTTCTGAGCCGAACGCTCTACCGTTATGCCACACAACCCCACCATTGTGTATTGCACTCTGGTAGGTGAAGTTGCAGAAGTCTACACTAGCACCAAGGACAGCACCAAGCTCTGACAGTCCACACAAGAAGTCTCTCTCCATCCACCTTGCTTTTGCCTCATCCATGCAGCGAGCGAGCACTTATCCAAGTCAGAATCAAAGATAGGGATACAAACCATTAGACTTCCTACCAAACACTATATCATCCCAGTGTTCTTTGTTCAAGGACTTGGAGCGGCGGTAGCTTCGCCGGCGGAAAAATCCCGACCGCTTGCCGCCCTGCGCTTCCTTCGTGTCCGAGTTCTGAACATGTGCCAGCTGCTCTGCCCTGTGATATTTTGAAACGGTAAACAGTTAGGATCTTTTACATATACTGGAAACACTCACCGAATATGACATGAACAGAAAATACTGTAAATGCACTTAACCTGCAGTGGTTATATTTTGAGAAAATGTTTTTTGCTGTAATCAAATTCATTATTGAAACAATTGACTTGACTTTATTCTGAAGTACAGTAGTATTACAAGCAATACAATTTGTGGTGGAAAGCCACTGCAAAAATTTCCGCATTTACAGTAAGCCCACTCCAACAAAAGGCCTCAAAAGAAGACAATGTTAATTGAAATGCCTTGGCTTCCATGACATGTGTTTATGTATGCACACAGCATATACAAATTCACACTTTGAGCCATGCAAACACACGCAACCTATAAATATAACACCAAGAAAAAGAAATCCAGCCAAGTTAGCAAAAACTTCTTCAGCTTTGAAAAATAAGTAGGAGCCACGGAAAGCAAAATGCCCTGTGAATTGAAAAGTGCTATATTTGAATGTAACATCCGTGTCCATAATATCACCAGGGTCCATAATATCGCCACCTTGAGAAATAGTGTGAGTAAGATATTTTTACTGCAACATACTTTTGGTATGCACTCCTTCACACATCAAATGTACATACGTAGGGTTTGTTGCAGTAAAAATATCTTTAAGCACACTTTTTCTCAAGGTGGCGATATTATGGACACAGATGTTATCATCCCACACATTTAACTCAAGAATGAGCTTCAATATCAACAAAGAAACCTTAGCTTTCTGTATGGACATGAAAAAAACATAATTTTTTAGTACACAGCCAGCCAGTAAAGAAGGACCTTGAAGCAGAAGATACAAAGTTATTTTCAAAGCTGTTGCCAAAGCGAGAGACCACCAGATGTTCATGTAATGTACCTGTGCTGTAATATCAGCAGGCCATCTCCCCTGTACAAGGTGAGATAGAGTCAAATCAGCTACTAAACATGGTTAACTAACATGGAGTGACACCTAGTGGACATTGAAGGAACTGCATGACGTTATGATGATGTGAAAATTTGTTTTTCATGTTCGATTAGCACCATTTTTGCAAGCTGTACATGGTGAGACAGAGCGAAGTCAGCTACTAAACAGTCAACTAACATGGAGTGACACCTAGTGGACATTGATGGAACTGCATGTCGTTATGGTGAACTGTTTATTTCTTGTACATGTTCGATGAGCACCTATTTTTGCAAGCTGTATATGGTGAGACAGAGTGAAGTCAGCTACTAAACATAGTCAACTAACACGGAGTGACGTCTAGCAAACATTGAAGGAACTGCATGACGTTATGGTGAAGTGAAAATTTGTTTTTCGTGTTCGATTAGCACCATTTTTGCAAGCTGTACATGGTGAGACAGAGTGAAGTCAGCTACTAAACATAGTCAACTAACACGGAGTGACACCTAGTAGACATTAATGGAATTGCATGACGTTATGGTGAAGTGAAAATTTGTTTTTCGTGTTCGATTAGCACCATTTTTGCAAGCTGTATATGGTGAGACAGAGTGAAGTCAGCTACTAAACATAGTCAACTAACACGGAGTGACGACTAGCAAACATTGAAGGAACTGCACAATGTTCTGGTGGCTTGTATACTTGAATATTTGTTTTACAAGTTCCATCAGCATGATTTTTGCAAGTTGATGATGTGTTCAGGGATAGAAGTTTTGAACTGGAAGCTCCCCCTCCCTGTTTTTGTTGGGAATGACACCCCTCTCTGTCTCCAGGTTGTTTTTCCCAAGTCTTTTGAGATTTTTTTCACAATATTTATCCTACATGAAACATATATATATACAATAGGGACTTACAGAGTTTTGACCTGGAAGCTCCCCCTACCTGTTTTTGTTAGGAATGACACCCCTCTCTGTCTCCAGGTTGTTTTTCCCAAGTCTATATCTTTTGAGATTATTTTTCACAATATTTATCCTACATGAAACATATATATATATACAATAGGGACTAAAGAGTTTTGGACTAGAAGCTCCCCCTACCTGTTTTTGTTGGGAATGACACCCCGCTCTGTCTCCAGGTTGTTTTTCCCAAGTCTATAATATTATATATCTCTTGAGATTTTTTTTCACAATATTTATCCTACATGAAACATATATATATATACAATAGGGACTAAAGAGTTTTGGACTAGAAGCTCCCCCTACCTGTTTTTGTTAGGAATGACACCCCTCTCTGTCTCCAGGTTGTTTTGACTCAGTCTACATCATTGAGATTTTTTTCACAATATCTATCCTATTTGAAACACACATATACAGTAGGGATACCAGAGTAGTAAAAGTTTTGGGCTAGAAGCTCCCCCTACCTGTTTTTGTTAGGAATGACACCCCTCTCTGTCTCCAGGTTGTTCTTGCCGATGCGCACTGCCAGCCATGACCCGACCACACCCTGGTGCAGCGTGTCTCTGATGTGGAAGATGTCTCCCTTCTTAAAGCTCAGCTCTTCTTTACCCTGCTTCTCATAGTTAAAGTGTGTCCTGAAAAGGGTGTTTCAGAACAATTGTTAAGTAAAAATACATGTAGAAGCCTAGCAATGAAAACCATTTTGACAGGTAGAATACAGTGAGGAAACTTTCATTTTACTTTGAATTCTATATCTTTGTCGTTTTAATACCATACTGTAAAGAAAAGATATAAGCATAAAATAGAAGTGGAAAAATTGGTGAAACATACCTAATATAGAACGAATCTCCAGAGCCCATCTCAAGGATTTTGTCATACTCTGAAACAGATTCAACAATTATATGCACATTTGTAAACACAATATTTTTTCTCCAGTCCTAGACATATGAAGATAAATATATTTCCAGATAGGTACTACTTGAAGACTTGGTTTTGTAATTTTGTTATTACCTACATTTGTTAGCTATACTTCTTTGTTACGTTGTATGTATTCTAGTTTTACATGTATTGTATTCTTGTTCACTGGCCTCCCTTGGAAATCAGCAAATAGTTGTAGGGGCAAGCCAGTTGTCTCAAGATGTAATAAACAAATAAATAAGTAAAAACTAACTGTCTTTCCTGTCCTGGGCCACTATCCTGATCTCATCCTGAAGGCTGAGTAACAACAGGACAGCCTCCTCACGTGTCATCGCTCGCATGTCTATCTCATTCACCTGGAACATACAGGTACACATTAAAACATTACCACAATCAGAGATTGCGGAATTTACCCCCTCTAGCAGGACACACAGGAACTACAGTGTGGGATCAGATACACAACACAAACACAAATGCCTGAGGGAGCAAAGTACGAAACTAAGAATACCAATAACATGGACATGGATTTCCTATTATTCGATATCAGCAATTCAAGTACAAATGTACATGTACAAAATGTACCTATCCAAAATACATGCACTTTGTAAAAAATTGAACAGGCACAACAAAATATTTTTATTTGTTTTAGTTAGCACAATATCAGTAGTACATTTATGTCCTTCTAAAACAGTAGCTTTCCAACATGTTTATGCCTGCAGACTTTTGAAAGAGATAGCTTGATACATTTCACAGCCTAGAACTTCTATCAAACCTGGAATGTACATGTTTGTTGTACATAAAAGACTAAGTTCAGCAACTGGTATTTAAAAGAATAGTCTAAACATCTGGGGCATAAACTACACACACATAGCATGTTTGATGAATATTGCAGAAGGAAGTATCTTATGTCAGAAATATTTACTGGCTATTTGACAAGATATTTAGTGTGGGAACGCCACAACTCATGGCACAACTATGTCATACTTCCTGCTGGAGCAATTTCAATGTAATTCAAACTATGCTCTACTTGGTTATCTGTTTTCCAAATGTGGACTGCTAAATACATAGCATGGACACATGGTGTGGGCCTTTTGGGTATTGGGGCCTGTGCCTAAACCCCACCACAACTTACATGTAGTACAAAGATTTCAAACATTGATACTGTATACTTGTTGAATTACTTAAAGATATCCTGTGCAATTTCAGGGTAGCAAATTTTCTGGATTTTCAATTTCTGGTCCTTATTTTAATGTAGTAAGTTGAATGATTCCTTTCTGTTACCATGCTAATATTTGTAAAGCAAAAGTGCAATGTCACTGATGGAAAATGGTTGCTTGTTTTGTATTATATGCTGGTCTAGCTATTTATGGGTGGTACCCCAAAATAAAGAGACTCCTCACGTAACTTTGGAGCCATTTCAAAAGTATTAAATGATAACAGAAATGAGCCAAGAAATGGCACTAAATGTCAAAATTAGACAGTTCCTCATCCAGAATATTTTTAATTTTGCCCAAATTTTGCTACTGCGCATATAAAGTGATTTACAGTACAATGGCGTCACCCCTTTTGCTATCTGAAGGCTGCCATGCCTAGCCTGGTTAGTAAGATTTTGGACATTTCATGTACATAAATGGGGATCAGTGTTCCAGGCATCTGTGGTGGAAACAGGTCCGTTTAACCTTATCAAATTGTTACATGCACCAGATTCAAATCTCTCAGGACTGGTAAAATACTGGTCACATAGTTTGTACTACAGTATGTAAGTATAGGTTACACAAGTGATAGTGTACTACTACATGTACAGTGTGCGTGTGTATTAGAGTGCTGATACAAATGTAGTATAATGATTATCACACCAAAGACTGTTCACTGTTTTCACTGTCACTTCTGTGAAAACAGAACTTATCATTACAGTTAACAAATGATTCATGAAGGTTCTTTTTCCTGCACCTGTTGCCACAGTGAATATATAGTTCCATCTATGTCCACTTTTCTCAGACCGTGAAATTTTGCTCCCGTGAACATTAAGTGAATTACAGTATCCACTTACCCCCAACATCTGCTTGGAGAGTACAGCTATAAGACTTACACTGAGCAGCTGGTCTCCTGTCTGCAGACCTTGCTGGTACGCTGCGCTGTCCTCCTGAACAGCAGCCACATAAATACCCACTTCCACCCAACATCTGCTTAGAGATTACAGTGTTTTCGCCAGGCCTTTTGAGCATAGGGGCCCCTTATGCTGTGATTTGGACCCGTATGCTGTTTTTCAACCAGCACAGGGGTGTTTTTGAAGGGAGAACCGTCATAAACCTTGGTTTTGGTCATGTTTTTGGGACTCAATGCGCGACTTGTGCTGCGAAAGTTGCCTTCTGTACCTGACCCCTATGCTGTGAACAATCGCTGGTGAGAACCCTGAGATTACAGCTAAGAGACTTACACTGAGAAGCTGGTCTCCTGTCTGTAGACCCTGCTGGTACGCTGCGCTGTCCTCCTGAACAGCAGCCACATAAATTCCCACTTCCACCCAACATCTGCTTGGAGATAATTCAGTGTTTTCGCCTGGCCTTTCGAGCATAGGGGCCCCTTATGCTGTGATTTGAACCCCTATGCTGTTTTTCAACCAGCACAGGGGTGTTTTTGAGGGAAGAACCGTCATAAACCTTGTTTTTGGTCATGTTTTGGGGACTCAATGCGCAACTTGTGCTGCAAAAACTGCCTTTCTGTACCTGACCCCTATACCGTGAACAAATGCTGGTGAGAACCCTGTCAGATTACAGCTATGAGACTTACACTGAGCAGCTGGTCTCCTGTCTGCAGACCTTGCTGGTACGCTGCGCTGTCCTCCTGAACAGCAGCCACATAAATACCCACTTCGTTCCCTCCAGCCAGACGGATCCCGACTGCTCCCTGCTTCTGGAACTTCACTAACCGGGGCTCAGAGCTAGACAGATATAGAAAAAAAAACAATAATCAGAAAAATTAATACTCCTTTACTTTGAAATATTGCTGTCATTTATTATGTTTACAGAAGGAAAACATAATGTTTTTGCTCAGTTTCTTCCTCTTCTTCTCCAAACCTAAAAGGCCAGTGACCTGAACCAGACTGTCTGTTACCATCGTAACTAGTGTTGGGTTACATCATGTTGCAATTTTATAGCAGGAGGGATTTAGACTCCTGTGACCATATATATGAATGTGTTTGAGTAAGAACTAACAGAGCAAACCAAATTCGAAGGTAAACATTATGCATTTGCTTTGCATACTTTTTTACTAGTTTTTAGTTTCTATTTACTTGAGTTGCAATAAAGTTGAGCTGTTTGACAACAAAATAAAGTCAACATGAGCTTATGCAAGGATTTTCTTGAGATTTTATTCATAACGGATTTTTCCTGTAACATGGAATTTATGGTTATCAAAATGATAATTAATGTACAGAAAGAGTCTTACTAAAAGGGAGGCTGTCTCCACTTCTTCCCATATACAGCATCATGTAACTTGTCTCGACTGCCTGTGGATGTAGGATCACCATAATGGCCTGGAGGAAAAAACACAAAGTCATGTTGTATGTGTGACATGCAGAACACAGTCATCAGTTAGGGTGATATTCATGACTTTTTCATGACTTATGTGTGAAAATCGCGACTTCATGCGGTAGAAAAATCAAGACTTTTTAGAATAAATTGTGAAGTGAGAGCTGAAAAAAGGGCATTCACTGTAACTATGACTTAATTCCTGATTTGTGACAACTGTGACTTTGTGTATAAATGCAAAGCTCATTGTGATATACACTGTATGTGATATTTGTTTTTGCTACTTTTTACAAGACTTTGTACCATCTATCATTACATTCAGTGCAAGTAGAATCATTTTGTGTTCTTCAATTTATGGCAAGCTACCTGCTGTACTAACACTGTGACAGAAAAAGTTGAAAAGTTATAACTATTGTACTGCATTTAAAATGCACAGTGGATTATCATATTTAGTAAAGCTTATGCCAATCATTCACTTGGTACAAGTAATAACTTGCAACTTAGATATTAGAAAACAAATCAAAAGCACCAAAATGCAAGCTCATAACTAGGGCTGTATCATATTATGAACATGTTGCAAACAATATTACAAGTCAATGTTATTGCAGATTACATGTAAAATTTTTGTCTGCATAGCATAGGCATCAACAAAATGGACATTCCATATGCACTGAAAGAAGTATAGAAATCCATATGCACACTGCGCATGTGCTACTAAAAGATATCAGTTTTCAAGATGCCAGATAGACTCACTTGAACTAAAAAGTGCTCAAACTATATTGAATTTCTTGGGTAAGTTCATTTAGGCACCCTCTAAAAAAATTTTCAAAAGACTGTCATTAAAAAGCACTCACTGCAGGTGATTGCTGGGAAAAGTTCAGCAAGGCAAACAAGCAAAAAGTGCAATTGTCCTAGAGGGTCCCTCAATGTATTGGTACAAACAAGGGCCTTGCAGCTTAATAATAGAACGAGCATTTAGCAAGGGGCAGGCGATCACTCGTGCATAATTTATGCCATAGGCTGGGCACTACCCACCGAGTTGATTCAGCAACTCTTGTCCGGGGATAGGGGGCCTTGGGGGAGCATCTACAAAGGTAGTAATGTCAGACAACTTGGTCACTACAAGTCCAACATGTTGACAGATCAGGCCCTTCTAACTTTTTCTTTTATTTTCAGACCAAAATCTTCCTTTGGTCTAAAGATTAACTCCTCTAAATAATTTCATCAGGTTGGTGAATGATAGAATAGTTAAGTTCTTTGACTCACAACCACTTGTTTAACAAGAGACAACATTTTGATGACCTTCTACTACCTTATTAGGGTTATATTAACAGCAAACTAGTCATTATTGCCCTGATGAAGATGACAGACGGTCATCAAAACATCAGCTTGTGTTAAACAAGTGGTTGTGAATAAGAAGAACTTAACTATGTAAACTAATGATGCTGGTTAACATAGACTTCTAAAGCTTACATATACTATAGTGGTTGAAGAAATCACAATAATTATTTCACACTGAAGACGGCATCTTTTTACCACTTAAAATGCCAGGTTATACATGATGAAAGGGGTTGAAGGGTGTAAAATACCCACCTAAAACCAGTAATTTTGCTGTCAAAAACTGTTAACTTCACAAACCTGCAATTGTGCAGCTGAAGATAATTGACAGCTCACACACTTTAGATACTATTTCGATGCAGGTATCATGTCACATTACCCTTTTTGTCCTAAACCACCTGAAATCTTCAATAGTAAAAAATTTGTGCTGCAAAATGAGGAAAACATTGCCATTGGGCATGTCAAGTGTCAGCCTCTGTAAATTATGTGACCACAGTTTTACCCAGACGTGCCCAGCAAATAACATATCTTGCTTCTAAACCCTGGTAGTGCACAAAATTTTTCACTAAAGATGCCCCATTTTCTATTGGGAAATGTAACTGAGAAGTCCCTTCCGTATTTTGTATATGCCCTAGGTTTGAACCAAAACCTCTGGACTTGAATCTGGACCTGAATGTGAGTTTAGGTACAGAGCACCACATCTAGTTACCGGATTAGGCAGTAGGGAGAAGGTTAAAAACGTTGTACCCACCGTTATCAGTTAGCGGTGTGTCCATCCTGGGTAGCGGCGGTCGCGGCGGGGCCTCGTCTGCGTACGGAGACGTTCTTCTGTACTTGTCATCTGAGTAGGGGGACTGTGGAGGGTCCATGGGGTCTGGCTGCAGGGGGGATTTGGCGCTGAGGGGGAGGGTAGCTGCACGGTCTGGGCTGGAGTCTGGGGACAAAACGTAGAGGACAGGGATTTCAACATTTGAATGACCTGTACTACAGATTACCAAAAATAGGAGTCTCAACAGAATGGTTGGCTACATTTAAAACCACGTGTACAGTTTGTTTGTAAAAGAAATGACAGAAGAAATTATATTTCCCTTGCAGCATGGTGTATAATCTAGTTATAGTGTTGCATAAGAAAGAAATGATCTGAATCTGTTCTTCTATACAGTACTATGTCATTTAAATATGCCTGATACAAAATGGATAATGACTTCCCTAGAAGTCAATATACAGAAATTTATTACATCAATCAACAACCCATAGGTTTTACCTACATCAATTTTGATGAGTGTGACAGGCAGGGAAATTTGCTTACAAAAGAAGTATCCAAGATGGTGGCACCCATATCTTAAGATGGCTGTGCCATATAGCCAAAAGCTTCTGTAATTATAGAATTATACGGGTGTAATACATTGCCACAACCCTTGAGGCTGAAGATAGCCTAAGATTCGTGACCTACCATACGGCCCCCTGTCCCTGGGTAAGGACAGCTGGCTGCCCTGGAGGGGGGAGGCTGGGGGGGAGTCCCCCTCTGACTGCACCGTCAGGATCAACTTGTCCTTGGACTTCTCTACTAGCTTCTTCGCGTCTGTGAAGGACAAGTTCTCAACTAGCGAATTGTTGATCTGGATAAAGAAAGAAAGAAACAAACAAACAAAAATATGTTATTATTTCTTTGGAATAAATGGAAAGAAGTTGTATTGAGACATTTGGGAGCAAGATGGTGACACCTCAGGCAAAAGTGTCTGATTGGTTGGGCTTGTTCAGGTGACCAAAATGAACTCTGTGATTGGTTAGGCTGGATCAGGAGCCCAAGATGGCTGCCTCCATGGTACAGTAGTATAAAACAGAATATTTTTTGATCACGCAAAATTATACAAATCAATATTTTGCAATCTCCCTGGTGAAATTTTTGTAACCCTTCTTCATAAAGAGACAGTCTGTGCCTTAATTTGCAGCATAGCTGACTAACAAACTTGCTGCAACAGAGCTAACAAGAAGTAACAAAGACCAGCTGTTCAGGTTCAACTTGTCACTTTGATTCCACGTCAATACTAAAGTACACAAAGTTACTGTCACCATCACTGTACAGAAGTACAGATCTAGCTGCTCAGTTTTCACACAAATGTCTTCCTGCATTACCACTTTTGTTTTCTTTTTCGTTAAGTCAGCTTGAACTTTTTCCAGAAAAGAATCAACACACAGTGTGGCCGTAGGTACATAAAGAAAACAAAATTCCTCTCAACTGGATCTAATTTAAAGCTGAGAAGAGGAACAATTTCTTCCTTTGTTTCTCTCCCAAACTCAAGACAAATAAATATCATGATTAAAACAGACCTAAATCTGTTACAGTAATGTATAGAGAAGCATTTGCAAGTGTAAACTGTGTGTGCCCCAAGCAAGGAATAATATACAAGTGCATTGATGAAAGTTTGACATCCAGGTAATGAGATTCATAACAAGATTGTAAGTCAAACAACTGGATACATTTTGAAAAGTGTTAGATGTTTCAAGTAGCTTTTAGGAGTCACTGACTAAAAATAGTACTACTGGAACTACTTGAAATGTCTGACAGTTTTCAACATCTATCTAGTTGCTTGAGTAACATAACAATCTCCTTGCAATTTTGTGTAATACAAGTGCAGATATTACAAATGCTGGAGGTAATTAAAAAAATTCACCTTGACTAGCAAGTCTCCTTCCCCCAGCTGTCCTGACTGTGCTGCGAGTCCTTTCTCTGTTACTTCCTTCACATACAGGTGGTAGCCTAGTTTCATACCATAGTCTGCAACAATAGAAGGATGGCATTCGTGGTCGACCAAAGAAGAATGGTTTGACAATGTTAGGGAGGACTTCCACCACTTGAACATAAATAACGTCAACCGACAGGATAGAGGCAAATGGTGGGCTGCCATCAAGCTGCAGTATTGTTGTGCAAGCATGTCTAACTGAAGTCGGGGAGCAACAGACGATAAACCGGATAGTGGGTGATTGATACTGTAGTTCCTTCTCAGATTTTAAGGAAAAACAAAAGCAAAAAAAAAAGACCTCAAGAATCCTACAACACTTAAAAATACTTCTTCCTTTTCTATACCCTCCAAACCAAGTACATTTTGTACATTGCTTTCTTTCTGTCTTAAATATTTACATGAAACTATTAAAGAAGGAACTAATAGGTAAGACAGTTTTCACCAAAATCTTTGTTTTGATATCCAATTTTGGACAGCTTTGCATACCTAAAGATACTGTTTCTGTCATTACTGTCATCACAGGTTACACCGTTGAAAAGGTTCGGGTCTGGACCCAACCTCCATAACCAGTACCTGTACCTGATGTTATGTTTCGGTTCACAATCCTATTTTCTAGTGACCTACTTTCTAATTGCAAGAACTGACAGACATCTACAAGGCCTTGACTTGAGTTACTGACCTTCCTTTTTCTTGGTTCTGGTGAGGGTGACTTTCTTGGTCTGTAGTCTGTCATCTGGAGTCCCTGGCACGGTTACCACATTCCTTCTCTTCACGACCTGTACACAACCATCATGAAAGTTCATCTGTGTTGGTAGTTACATGTTTAAAGTTAAGACTTTTGGTCCAACACAAAAAATTCTCTTACCTAGAGCTTTCGACCAGTCACTCTGGTCTACTGAGGAAGACCAGAGTGACTGGTCGAAAGCTCTAGGTGAGAGAATTTTTTGTGTTGGACCAAAAGTCTTAACTTTAAACACTGTACACAACCAGAACAGTGTTGGACTAACTCAGCAACATCAAAGCCCTTAGTGCTAAAGTCACTCATGATTTACTCAATCTAAAACTGCTGAAATTTATCACATTTCTTTTCTGAAATCTGTCCAAGAGGGCCTAGGGCATACCAATGAAATTTCTAACATTCTGAAACGCCAATGCTTGCAATTTGAGTGATAAATTTTAAATCTCTAATGAAATACAATACACAGCATATATACCGTTAATACTACACACTGTATACATTTTTTCTATGCACGTTTCTCTCAGAATTTTTCTGGCATTGTCAATGTCCTAACCAACTGAAGACTTCCACTACCAAAAAAGTTTAGAATGGACAATAATTTCTGATTTAATCTTCTTTATCTGTTGTGTAATTGTGAACTGGCGGTTCTGTTACTCCTGTTCTAGTGATGCTGTCATTGCTGTTAACCTACAATAACGGTGCTGTCCCTGCTATTCTAGTGATGCTATCTGACACTGTTAACTTACAATAACTGCACTGTCCCTGCTGTTATAGTGATGCTATCAATCATTGCTGTTAACATACAATAATGGCGCTGTCCCTGCTGCTATAGTGATGCTGTCACTGCTGTTAACTTACAATAACGGCGCTGTCTCTGCTGTCCTTCAGTATGTTGACAGCCTGGCTGTGGTCCACGTGGTCCAGAGATGCTCTGTTCACACTCACCACTCGGTCATTCACTCTAAAATATCAACAATATTCACTAATATGAAGTTCAATTCTACATTCACTTTTCAATAAAAAATCTTGACTCTTAATTTTTGTAAAAAATGTGATTGGAGACGGGAGACGCCCATTTTGATAGACAAACAGTGCAGCGTGAAAAGAATATAATGTATTCAGCGTGAAAAGAATATAATGTATAATTCAATATAAGAAAAATGTATTTTACTCTCTCTAAGTACTTCAACGAACATATGATTGCTCATCTAGTAAAGTCGGTTTCACATTCAACGTCAGATGATTCTTTGGGATGAATCCTAAAGATGATGAATGACTGGAATAAAGGAAAGATAGCATCACATTTGAAGTCAGAAGATTCTTAGATGAATCAGCATGATGACAAATAAGTGACTCACTTCAGTAGCCCCTCTGCAGGCCCTCCTGGTAAAACATCTGAGATGACGATGGAGGTTTCCCCACTCGTGAAATGTGGGTTGTCTCTGCCTCCACTCACCGCTATACCAAAACCATACCCTGGTGCCTAAACAAAAATAAATAACAACAACACAATATGAGTTGTCTCTTTCTCCACTAGCTCATCATATACCAAACCCATCCCCTTGCCTCTAAACAAAAATATAAACAACACAATCTTTACTTCACTAAAATCTTATTCGTTAAAAAGCTAAATGCCCCACATCCTAGCCTCTCCACATATAAAAAAAAACACAAATAATTGAATGGTGAGATAACTTACAAAGCTTATACTCACCCTATTGATTGTAAAGCTCAACTGTTCCCAAACCACTTGCTCTCTTGCCTGTGAGTACAAAAACATAGCAATTAGAAAGGTAACGGTCTACAATTAATGATCATTGTTACAGCTATGTCTCATCTTCCACACCAAAAGTACATCTACAAAATGTAACTGGGCTTATGTAATCTTTGGCCACCTGCATTCTATAAGTTGCAGTATAAATCTTGAACTTGAAGGGAAACACCTGCAAAACACATGGTTAAAACTGGCACCAGACAGAGCAAGCTGGAATGTGTTAGGGAGGGGTTCGTCCTTTAGGAATAGACTGAACATGTCTATGGAATGACGTAGTCCTTCTAGTTTTCCACATGGAAACATTACTTAAGTCTACTCAACTACATGTGTGTTGTTGTGAGCTGGTGATACAAGCTGATAGCAAAAACATCTGGATGCACAGCATAATATTGTCATTCCTCCACAGTGTAGAACTGCTGGGAACTACATTATGTACCATTCCACAGGGACATAGGGCTGTCTGGCTTCAACTGTCTGTTACACATCAACTGTCTAAAACAAGACATCTACAAGTACACAAAGAGGCTATAGTGTATGATACGTCGATGAAGGTTAGACATCCAGGTAATACGATATGCCAAAAAACAGTTACTCAAGCAACTGGATATGATTTTGAAAACTTCAGACGTTTCAGCTAGTATCCACTAGCTTTCGTCAGTGACTCAGAGACCAGAGGGGAAAGCAGGTTTTAGAAGTTGAGCTCCTGTTCTGTATAACAGGAGCTTTCAGACTATTTTGCATCATCTTGTCTTGACTTGTCTGACTTTTGTTCCTTTTTCGACTTCCAAAAATTTGTCTTCACTTTATTTGCATATCAATCAACAGGTTGTGCTTATAAACCTGCTTTCACCTCTGGTCTCTCAGTCACTGACGAAAGCTAGTGGATACTAGCTGAAACGTCTGACGTTTTCAAAATCATATCCAGTTGCTTGAGTAACTGTTTTTTGGCATAGTGTATGATACAATTCTGTTTCTTTGTATTGTCTTAAGTGTTGCAAAGAAGACAAGAATATTTGCACAATTATTAACAATCTATAGTTTAGTTGGAGTCTGAAGGAGTAAACCATTATGGATTCTAGGGGCTATGTAAAAAAAAAAAACCCAGAAAACACATTACTAGTACACGACACTAAGAAAAGAATACAGAAACAATACAAATTATGGAAGATACTAAGACTAGAAGGAGACAATACTGCGACCAATGGAAACACAAATTTTTGACACAAAATTGTACCAACATTTTTTCATGGCCCACACCCCCATAAGTTGGTTTCCTTGGTTCCTCCCAAAGTGTCAGAGATTAATGAGATGTAGTTGACCTCCCTTGACCTGTCTGACTTCTGATGACCATGAAAATGACCTCAGTGTTGACCTGACCGCATTTCCCTTTTACTGACCATTACATAGACCCAAGCAAAAGCACATGCCAACTTTAAAGCAACTTCTCTTGTACCAGTCCCTCCTAGCTCCGTCTATGGACAAGATTTTCCCGCTTGGGACCTACAAGAATTCCAACCATTCTGTCCCACTTGACTCACAAAAATAAAAACTTTATGACATATAATTGCTTGTCAACAGTGTTATAAAAATCTGGGCCTCAAAATGTATTAAACTGCATCAAAGATTTGGTTATGATGTTCAAGATTTTCAATTTCCTCACAAATTTAGCAGAAAACAAAGACACCTTTCTTCTACAATACAGCCAAACTATGACCTATTTAACAAAATAAAGGACAATTCTGGCCCACTATAATTCTACAAACTGACCTTAAAACCAGACTTAGACTTGTCCTTCTTCGAAGAACTAAATACACCTCCCCATAGCTTCTTCATGTTGAATTGTCGGACTAAAACCTTTCAGCTTCACTACAAAATACACTGACACAAAGAACAAGGAACTGGAACAGTTGTCCAACCCTATGGGACAGGGTAGGGGAGGGTATAGGGTTACAAACAGTCTCTGCAAGGCCAGGGTTCACTTCCTTATAAACAACACTCCAAGAGGACAAACTGGCAACAATTTCGCAAAAGAAACACAATACTGAGTAGCTTATCCATGTAAGTCACACCGGAACTGCAGATTTTACTATATAATTTTTTACATGAATCTGACAACCAAATAATTCCGATGTCCAGCAAACCACATATTGGGGTGTCAGTCACACATTTTTAGGGACATACACGTATGTTTATTTGGAAAAAGGTCTTCTAAAAACAAAGGACAGAACCAGTAGAAATGTGAACTGTATTTAAATGCTAACACACGAGGATAGGACTGTTTTATTTTTTCCAAAGACCTTTGGAAACATTGCTGTCTGTTATATTCTGTTTTGTTTTTTAAGGATGATACATGTAGTAGGTATTGTTGTTGACAAGGATCCTACCATATGTTGCTGTCATTTGGATGGGGTGACCTTTGCTATCTATATCAACATACCAAAACATTTCCTACATTCTGACCTAAGAGAAAATGAAATATAATATGGATGGGCTTGAGTAATGGTAGAGATATCATAAAATAAATCATGTAAATGAATGAAGAAATAATACGCATTTGTAGTGGGTGACGTGTGAGATGTGAATATTATGTTTGAGTAATGATAGAAATATTACGATCAATTTCAAAAATTTCACAGAAATCTATCAAAGTTTCTGTAAACTAAAGCACATTCATATCAAAAGCCCAAAAATGTACCCTTAGGCATTAATAATATTGATAATAATATCACTTCTGAGCGTGACATTTCTCTTTTCAATTGCGAAGGCATATAGCATCCAATTCAACCATCAATTCCATCCAATTTGTCCATAATTGCAAAAAAGCACCCAGATGAAATCCACCAAATCAATTCTGACAATTTTGAGAGCCAGCTACGTATTTTGCTGAATTCAGAAAGCCTACCCAAAGGCATTACGTTTTATGATAAATTCCGGGTAGCTACAACACATTACGTAGAATCAAAACGGCAAATTACGCTCTACGCAAAACGCCCCAATTACGCTCAACTTTGAATTAGAGCGGTCTGTCTACGTACGCTCTACTTAGAATTAAAACGGTCGATTACGCTCTACAGAAAAGGGCATGTGGGCCCCCCTCTTAGGCCACACCAATTTAATTTCTTGGTTAACGGATTTTTCTAGAAAAATAATGGAGCGGGCGGGCGAAAAAAAAATAAATAAAAACAGGCCTAGGCATCGTATTATGGCCCAAAATGGTACGATAGAAGCCATGAAGTCAACACACCAGGCTGGTTCAAAATTTAAACAATGAATTTTGAACTTTAAATGATACCATTGCATTGAAAGATGGAATAACTGTAACAACTAGGATGAAAAGGACTGTTTTCAACTGTTCAGGACAAAATATGAGCATTTTGCAGTTGATTCTGGATTTTTATTTTTATTTGCAAATCAGAAAAAAATGAAGCGGCGAATCCGTTAACCAAGAAATTAAATTGGTGGGCCCCCTTAGCTTGGCTTGTCTAATGGGTTTGTACCAAACAACAAGGATGGCAAAGCTCAAAACTGTTTGACATTTTCCCAACAGCTGTGATATGTTAAAACAATCGTCCCATACACACTTGTCTACAACTTCTCCCTTACTGGTAAAATATTGACCAGTATGAATGTATCTAACTTCTCAAGCATCCAGAAAATGTTTTCTTACTACTCTCCCAATCATAGCCTTCCTTGTATCTGACTGTGATGCCACTTATGCTATGTCTGTAACGGATATGCTTTACCATTGGTATGTGAAAACAATTGGCAACATTTCAATATAGCAGGTTTTAAATGCCCTATCTATAGATCAAATTCATAAAGAATAGTGCACAAATGTTTGGTATTAATTTCTGTCTCACCTTTTTTGCCTGTTTACAGTTTATACAAATATTTTGTTTGTTTTTTCTGTCTCATCCTTTCCCTGTATACAAATGTTGTGCTTACTTCTGTCTCAGTATAGTAGTCTCAGTATTTCCCTATATACAAATGTTCTACTTACTTCAGTCTCGTCCTTGCCTCTGCGCCTTTCCCTCCGTGTTCTTGTTTGTCTCTCTCCGGGTGACCCTTGTAAACCTTGCGACCCACCAAACCTGTAGGAAAAACAAAACAGACAAACAAATAAACAAACAGAAACGCAAGTACTTTGCACAGTTTGCAATAAAGGCAGTGCTATAATTTAAGTATAAATACTTTTTTTGCAGTGTTCTGCACTATTGCAGAATGTAAAAATTCTGTTCTGCAATTCGGGAAAACTTTCTGCAAATACACACTTAAAAGTCCAGATTGCATGTTGGCAAATGTTTTTTTGCAATAGTGAAAATGTCTCTGCAAAATGCTGACTGCAGATGGGTATTTCTAACAATGTGAAGGCGTGGACACAACCAGTACAATTATTTTGTTGAAAGATTTTGAGACAGGATAAAAAAGAATCAACAAGGGTTTACCGCAACCTTTCCAGTCAAAAGACAGCTGAACTGTGTAAAAGTACAGTAAGCACAACATACAAGAATGCCCCTCAATTTGCTACTATAAATCTATCGTACAATGAATGTGACTGAGAACTTTGGAATGCTTTGCAAACAATTCTCAAACAGTTTCCAGCATCTTCTGACCTTGACTTCCTATTCAGTCAAAAGACAGCTTAATTGTATACAAGTACAGTACAACAGATCTACAACTTAACTAAGAATGCCCCTCAATTTGCTACCATACATCTATCGTACAATGAATGTGACTGAGCACTTTGGAATGCTCTCCCTAACGGTTTCCATAATCTTCTGACCTTGACTTCCTATTCAGTCAAAAGACAGCTGAATTGTGTACAAGTACAGTACAACAGATCTACAACTTTCCTAATAATGCCCCTCAATTTGCTACTATAAATCTATCGTACAATGAATGTGCCTGAACCCTTTGGAATGCTTTGCAAACAATTCTCAAACAGTTTCCACAATCTTCTGACCTTGACTTCCTATTCAGTCAAAAGACAGCTAAATTGTATACAAGTACAGTACAACAGATCTACAACTTAACTAAGAATGCCCCTCAATTTGCTACCATACATCTATTTACAATAAATGTGAGTGACCAAGCCTCTTTGGAATGCTTTCCAAACAATTCCCTACTGGTTTCCACAATCTTCTGACCTTGACTTCCTATTCAGTCAAAAGACAGCTAAATTGTGTACAAGTACAGTACAACAGATCTACAACTTAACTAAGAATGCCCCTCAATTTTCTTCTATAAATCTATCACACAATGAATGTGACTGAGCCCTTGGAATGCTTTCCAAACAATTCCCAAACAGTTTCCACCATCTTCTGACCTTGACTTCCTATTCAGTCAAAAGACAACTGAATTGCATACAAGTACAGTACAACATATCTACAACTTAACTAAGAATGCCCCTCAATTTGCTACCATACATCTATTTACAATGAATGTGAGTGATCAAGTACTTTGGAATGCTCTACAAACAATTCCCTACTGGTTTCCACTGTCTTCTGACCTTGACTTCCTATTCAGTCAAAAGACAGCTGAACTGCATACAAGTACAGTACAACAGATCTACAACTTAACTAAGAATGCCCCTCAATTTGCTACTATAAATCTATCACACAATGAATGTGTGACTGAGCCCTTGGAATGCTTTCCAAACAATTCCCTACTGGTTTCCACAATCTTCTGACCTTGACTTCCTATTCAGTCAAAAGACAGCTGAATTGTGTACATATACAGTACAACAGATCTACAACTTAACTAAGAATGCCCCTCAATTTGCTACCATACATCTTTACAATGAATGTAAGTGACCAATCCCTTTGGAATGCTTTGCAAACAATTCTCAAACAGTTTCTACAATCTTCTGACCTTGACTTCCTATTCAGTCAAAAGACAGCTGAATTGTTTATAAGTACAGTACCACATATCTACAACTTAACTAAGAATGCTCCTCGATTTGCTACTATAAATCTATCGTACAATGAATGTGACTGAGAACTTTGGAATGCTTTGCAAACAATTCCCTAGCGGCTTCCACCGTCCTCTGACCTTGACTCCAGACTGGCTGGGGCCAGCTTCAGATTGGGGCAAGAAAAACTCCGGTGAAAAACCCTGGAATGGAATCTTCGCGATGCCATACTTCCACAGAAAACGTTCCTGTTTCGGCTGAAAATCTTTCACCAACACTGAGCCGAAACACTCTAGTTGCAAACAGCCTACCCACTCCCAAATGAATGTGCAACGGTTTCGTCCTAATGAAAAACTTTCATTTGTTTTTCCAATTTTCATATGCAAAGTACATTACAGGCAGAATTGACGTTAGCAAAAAAGTAATTAGTAAATGGGAAACTGCTATTATTTCATTATTTCTGATGATGGAAAATACTTGGAGAAGATGAAACAATGGTATTTCATTAGTCCTAATGTTTTCCATGTATTACCTCAAAACAAACTGGTACTAATCAAGGTCAAACCAAGGTTACTAATGTTTTGTGCCTTCAATTGGTAACTGCAAGGTAAGAGGACAAACAAACGTGAATGAAGAATACAGCATGCGACTATTCTAATTTCTATACCCTACTTTCAGTAACCTTGCATAAAAGGTCATATTAAATCTGGGTTGCCTTCTAAAAAATATAACGTTTACTAACGGATTAGACAGGTTTTGCTAATCCGGATCATTCTGTATTGGCATATCACTAAATCCGGCTCAATCTACCTTGAGAATCCCTCTGTATTAAAACTTATCTGCCTGTTGTGACACCCTCTTCTTACACTTTTTGTATGACCTACATTATATTTTTCTCTTTCTATTCATGTATGATCTACATGTAAATTTTGTGCAGTTCCATCCAAACCGCTAGGTGCTTACCTGTGTGTGAGTCCCTGGCCCTGTTTGGTGGTCAGACTCTCTAGACTGGCCAGCGCGCGGTCTCTCTCGTGTTTCATCTCCTGGTACTGCTTCATCGCCGTGTCTCGCTCTTTCAGCGCGAGCGCGTTCTCTCGTAGCACCGCATCGCGTTCCTTTAGTGCTAGCTCGAAGCCCAGCTGTAGCGCTTTGGACGGAGACTTCTCTTCTTCTGCTTCTGATGTCACATCTGGGAGAAGGTCATAGACAAAGTTTTTTTAAATTTTTCATTCCAACATTTCATGACCAAACATGGCGGCGGCACACTCAAGTTATATCAACTTATTTTATGCCACCACCAACACAGAGTACAAATACAGGACAGGACAATACTCATTTTCACTTGAGTTAAGTGAGGAAAGTTGTGTAAAGTGCCTTTCCCAAGGGCACATGATCGGTGGTATGTCAGGACTCGAACCCGGGACCTCTTGGTTCCGAGTTGAGACATCCAATGCAATTTTAGGGCAATAAGACAAAAAAAATTTTCTGGATGAGAAATTACAAAATCTAACATTTTTTTACAGCAATATTTTACGGGCAGCATGTGTATGATACATTACAATTGAAATTACAATTCAGTGTTTTAATTTTACGTAATGCGTTATAGGCTTGTAGCTGCAACACGGAATTTATTGTACAGCGTAATGGGAAGGCGTCCTGAATTCAGCATAATAGTCAGCTCTCAAAGAAGGCCTGCAAGCCCTTTTTCGTAAGGCGTAATCAGGCCGTTTTTTAGAATTAGACTTCGTAATTCGTAGGCAGCCTCCGCAAAAATCAACGTAATTCGTAATTGGACATTAGCCGCAAATCGTAAAGTTGTAATCAGCTCTGAGACTTTAATGTAATTCGTAATAGGCGGCGAAAATTTTGCGTAATTCGTAATCACTACCCCCCCTTGCAGGCCCTCCTCAAAATTTAGTGTAGAGCGTTGTTGGGACCCCCCATGCAGGCCCTCCTATATAAGGGGCATTAGATTATCAGTCGACTGTGGTGCATTTAGACTGACGCCTGAAGGGATAAAATAAACCTGGTTTGTCTCATCTCCACCCAAAACTGGATTCTTGGCATGTCATCGAATGATTGCTATCATATGCTGAGGCTGTGTTATATGCTCTGTAAAGTTGCAGCTTTATCTATAGTTTACATGTACCTTTACTGATGTGATTTTCAGGTTTTTTCTTGTGGTTTGAAAAACAGTAATAACAGTATGAAAACAGTATACTGAAATTCACTTTTATGTTCACGGTAGCAAAATTTCAGTCTGAGAAAAATGGAGGTCCGCAAAACTTGATCAATGGAGATTTCGAACCCCCTAGCAGCCTTTTTTGGTACTGCAGTATTTTACATTTTGCATGTGATTGACAAATACAAACACCTTTGAGGAAATACCATTTATTTGTGCCCTAGGCGTGACAATGTTGACATTATGAACTTTATCATAACAATGGAAAACTGTTGTGTACAAATTACAGTAGTGCAATAATCTAATCCACTTAACACTGTAGTGTGAAATGAACCTAATCTGATACATTACAATATAAAATGGTGTGAAAATAAAACATAATTGTTTACAATTAATTAATCACATTAACACCTTTCAACTTGTGAAACTGGGTGGGTGTTTGATATATCAATACTACTAGTACCAGCATCTAAATGTTGTGTTGCCTTCCAAATTCTGAACTTGTTTAGCTTGGATTTCATTTTCTATTTGATGATCGGTGTCACAATGCACAAGAAAAAAATTTGACATCCAACCCAACTCTACATGCTACCATTTTGGGGGGCTGCAGAGGTCAACTTGTGGTTTGGGAGGACTATAGTGATGTCAAAATTTTGAGGATACCGATTTGGTCATTTGATAATCATCCCAAAATCTACAGAGACTGAGTAAAATATTTTATACATTTCTCCAAAATTCACAGGTTGGAATCTGTTTTGTAAAAAAAAAGACTTTTGTTGTTTACATATTTCCCATTAATTGATTTGCTTTTGAGTTGAAGAAATTAGTCATTGAATGTAGTTTTTGTGGTGTTTGTTTGTTTTATTGTGAGTGTTTTATTCAATCAATGTTTTATTGTTGAAGCATTTATTATTTCATGATTTTTTAATGGGTCAGCTATTGCAATGGGATGGTTACCAATATAAAATCTATCTATATCATATATCATAATGAAAAAAATTACTTTTGAAGCATAAAATATCCAACTTTCATTGCGAAACAGTCAAGGTTGGTGGTTGAATTTAATGTAGTGTTTTCTCATCTTCATACATTTTGGACTTAGTCGCCCAAAATCTTGTATAATTTGCAATCACCCCCTATATGCTCTCCCCTTATACTAAAAAGGAATGATATATTGCACTATAAATTAAGACACATAAAATTTAAATAAATAAACACTTGTGGGCACTGGGTTGTGTCTAAAAACATCATAAATTACTAAAATAAAATAACAAATACATGTGCAATGGAATCACATGTGTTTAAATTGTGGATCTGGGTTTTGTAGCATTTGTCAACAAACGCCTGTGTCACAAACAGATACAACACAAAAAGTAACGGTAACAGTGAGTGGGTGGGAGGGGTGAAACGGTTCAAAACTATCCTAATACTTTATCCAGCTCGCCTGGCCAAGAAATCAGAGCATAATTTGGGGTCACGGATATGGAAGACAGCCAAGAAATTCCTGCCAGAACTAGCTGGTTGATGTTAAAGCGATTTTTGTAGCAACGTTCGTGGTTTTGTTATGTCCCTAGTGTATAGCCTGTACCCACCCACATTTCCAACAGCGGGAAAAACGCCTCATTATAATACTCCCCGCATGGCCCTAGTTCGCTCGATGGGCTCAAAATAAGAGGCACGAATGCGTTAGGAGTTGTAGAAGAGTTGTAGAGGTTCCTTACCGGGGTTGTCGAGGAGAAAGCACGTCAGCAGGTGCGGAAAGCTGTCCTCTAACGCCGAGCAAAATTCCTGAAACGCCGCGGGACCTTTCCTCGAGAGCAAGTCCACAAATACCTCCGTCTGCAGCTGTCTCGTTCTCTCGCTTAGGATCTCGCCTTCCTCCACAAGGCTGAACACTCCTGTGTAGACTAGGGAGGGAAGGATTTTAGCGACGTCCAAGTCCTGTGCGATCGCTGCCCGATGTTTTGCCAGAAGTCTTGCGTGGGTCGTGCTCCTACCCGCCATTGCTGCGACTTACTACACCACAGGAAGTGCGCCCGGGAGACGGCATAACGTAAACAAAGTGGCGGTTTCCGGCGGGGAGGAATGCGTTATTCATGGTCCTGACTTGAAGTTATGTGGTCTGCTCACAAGTTGGAGTTGTTCCCACCTCCCCCGCCTCTGGTTGGACATCGGGTGATTGATTGACATCGACAGTCTATTGACTGACAGAGACAAAACAAAGCGCGCGAAAAGTATTAGATAACGTTTCTGCATACGACTGCTAACTATTGCTTGTGGAAAATAAAAGTTCCTGCAGGCAAAATGGCACAAAGAGCTGGAATGCTTTCTGCAAGGAACCTTTTTGCATAAACAAGTAAAATTCGCTGTAAATACTACAGTATAAAGTATAGTACACTACTAGCACGGTACTCAGCTGCCCCCTATCGAAATATAGCAGAACTACAGTTGCATGTCTCAGAAAAGGATCCGCACAAAACAATATTGTCAATATTTTCAATGGGGTACTTTTTTCTCTCAACTGTATTTTATGTTTTATCTGTTTATGGCAAATGTTAAAACTATATGAAAGCGGTCGCAATGTCTAACTCATTTTGTTTGAAAGACGGTGCTCAATAAATTGCGAACTAGTCTTTCAGTTCCACCAGACGTGCCTGTTTCGATGATCCAAATACAAAACTATAAGACAATTACATTTCGCAAGTGCATGTATATGGAAGCAAACAAGTCATTGAATTGACGCAGTTTGTTATATATCAATTACTAACTGCACCAGACAATCTATTTTGCGAGAAAAAGTAATAAAAACATCAGCTTTCGATACCCACGCAAATACATAACTGCATCACACAATGACATATTGTGAGTAAATCAATTTATTAGTATATGCCAGGAAAGAAAAAATCATGTGATGCATCATGTGACGCAGTTGTAACCAATGAGAATCGAACATTCAAAATAGAATTTATAATTTCTGCCAGACCCATTTAATCAACCTGAAGGACATTGTAACATATAAAACGGACACGTAGAATGTCCTTGTGCCACAGACGGTCTCTGAGAGTCTCTGACTCCGTACACGTACCACCAACTCTCTCACAGTCGGCCAACTTAAGCACAACGTACAACCATCCACTTGTCAGGTAAGAGCCCTTAAATCTCCTTGGAAAGAGGAAGATGATCATGAGTTGAGTATTCTGTGTAAAAATTACTGGAAGGTGTCTGCGACTAGAACATCGGCATCTAATGCAATTTCAGGGGGAATGTCCCCTCAGTTACATTGTGTATGTGTGGTGTGTTGTGAGGTACATGGCGTTCAGCACCAAGGACAGGTGCCGTTTGTCTATATTACGAGGGGATTCAATAGGAAGTTCGGGTGTGGTTGCCTATCGCGTCGCTCAACGAAAAAAATTATGTATTTTGTATAAAAATGTTTTCACACGTTTGGTTCCCTGCTATGGTTTATAAGCCAGCGTTACAGTCAGAATGTAGCCTACTTCCCAGACTTGAAGAGGGACTGCGTTGTTATTTTTTCGGTGAGCGATATCAGGACTCGAACCCGGAACCTCTTGGTTCTGCCGTTGCGCCACGCGACCCCACTTTTTATAATAAAGGGATGTTGGCTTTAGAATGGTAGGGTCAGTTTATAAATTAAATTTAGACATTTTTTGTTAATTCTTTGTTTATTCCTTTGTTTCCATAGGAAGCCAATTGTAGCAGAGTTTGCTGCCACGATTCAAAATGGGACCTCTGACTTCATTTGTCCTTTTTACATTGTTAACAACTACTATGGGAACAACTGTTGATTATTCGAAGCGTGACTTGTTACGTGTCCCAATGGATAAAATCAAAGATGCTCTTGTAGTAAGATTATCGGATAATGATATAACTGACCTTGGCACTTTTGATTCCTCCCCTTACATATTATATCTTCACATTGATAATAATAAGGTAAAGAACATTTCGATGCATACATTTCAAGGGTTGGGTGAATTGTTGTATCTCGATCTCAACAAAAATTGCATCTCTTCTCTTCGCCAATTCACTTTTTCTAACCTTTCGAAGTTGACGGATCTCTACCTCACAAATAATTTCATTTCTACCATATCAGATAGCGCTTTTCACGGTTTAGCAAAGTTGGAATTCCTAGATCTTTCTGGGAACCGTCTGTCTGTGTTTCCAACCCAGGCTATCAAGTTGATTCCTAGTAGCCAACTCTATTTGGTCATGATCAGAGTCAACAAGATTAAGCAAATTCCAACAGACATAAAAACAATCCATCCTTCCACGTCTTACGATTTCCAAGGCAATCCTTTGAGTTGTCCAAAGGAAACAGAAAGCCAAAATTACACGCATCCGACCTTCAGAGTGACAGATTATTACATAATCAGAACAAGACATAACAGATCTTTCGTTGATAAAGTCATGTTCATCAAAAAACGGTACGAAAACTATGGCGTTCGTCCTCATGTGAGACTTATCCTTGAAAACAACAGCCTTGCAATAGACTTGCCTTTTCCAAAATCTGTAACTGAGGTATATTACTGGGATACACCTACGGGTAGATATCGGATCAATCCTTTTGGAACGGGAAAACTGATTTTTAAAAAGTTTGGTGTTCGAAATTCTGGTCTCTACACATGTGTAATAGACAAAGGCCACGTCAAACTGAAGTTCGATATGATTCTATGTGCGACTACGCCACCAAAAAAGATAGAACAACATCCACATCAAACTAGAATGCCCACAAATTACACAATAGAAAATGTGCACAATGGCACCTGCCCATTTCTTAAAAACCAGTCTTGTTGTCGGTCACTGGATAAGAAGTCCGTGACTCAAGAAACAATCACTGAACGTGGACCAAACGTCTTGACTGTGATTGTGGCTGTCAACGTAGCCGTCATTCTTCTAACGTTACTTCTTGTGGCTACATTTTGTTGGAGAAAACATCGTGCTATGTCTAACCCCGGAGCAGTAAATGTAACATGGCACGCCGGTGCGCAAACTGTGTCGGTCAGCATATCTGATCCCGTCGTCCCCGGTCTAGCTCAACGTTCAGCAGAAGTGGACTCAAACCCGAACAATCTATCTCTCCGACGTTTGCAAGAAAGTCAGTCACCCACAGGAACGGGTATACACGGTAGTTTAGACCCTCCTGCTGTGCACGCTACACGAGTACAGCTCCATCCTCACCCAGGCGACGATGCCGTAGAGGGTGGTGAGGGCGCCGGTCTATATGAGGATGTCGACGGTCATACTTACGCTTATGCCGAGGTGGCTCAACTACCAGTGCACGGCGACAACAACAGCGCAGCTGTGCACGGTGAGGACGATTTGTATGAAGATGCGGAAGGTCATCTCTACGCTTCTGCAGAACCATCTCCTCTATCAGTACATTTTGAGGACGACAGTTTGTATGAAAATGCGTGCGGTCATCTGTACGCTGCCGCCGCGCCTCCAACACTACCTGTCTCCGGTGCTGGCCACGTCTACGCCGCAGAACTCTGCGAGAACTCTGCTCACATCGAGAACATTGTGAGAGATGGAGAAGAGACGCTCCAAGACACAGCAGCAGCGAACGAACTGTATCAACAAGACACACAGCTGAATCGTAGAACACACTCACATCAACACCAAGCCGAAACGAGAAGTAACTTGTATGAACAGCAACCGAACGTTGTCAGTCATAGAGCATACTCGGGGCAATACGGTCTCACAAGAATTTGTGCTGAGGGCACAAGTCGAACAGAACTAGTAGAAGCCAGCTCTTCTCTTGCAGGAAGTAACTTGTATGGACAGCAACCTGACGATATAAGTCATAGGGCATACTCGGGGCAATACGGTCTCACAAGAACTCAAACTTGTGCTGAGGGCACAAGTCGATCAGAACTAGTAGAAGCTAGCTCCTCTCTTGCAGGCAATAGCTTGTATGGACAGCAGTCAGGGAATAGAACCCTGTCTCGTGACACTATCACTAGAACTGAAAATCACTCTAAAGAAGCCTTGAACGCCCTGTATGAAAGTACGTCTGCAATTGTAGAGTGACTTCTGTAGTATATGTGGATCGTATTGTCGTGTGTTTCAGAAAACCAACATCTCCAGCATGTTAAAGATCATTTATTCATGGCTCGATAGATGAAAAAAAATTGTATGAAACTCAGAATTTACTTTTAGACAGTTTTAAAACTTTGATTCACCTTTGACTTAACTATGCTCTGTATTAGTAAATAATAATTTGTAGCCATTTTACAAATTGAGTTATTTTATATAACGTTATACATATAATTTGTGATTTTTCATAGTTCTTGGTGGGTTTCGAAGTAACGTTTTGGATATAATCGAGACTTGACTTTATTCAATGCATTGAGGGACCATTCTTAGCTGTAGACAAGAACACGTAAGTTGTGTAATATAATAATAATGTCGTTTTTTTCTTCAAAATATTCTAGTGGCAGGAAAAACAATGGAACCTTGACCAACATGCAAGGTTTGTCACACATGTAGACTCAAGGCCGACAACATTATGTCATGAGCCACCTTCACATTCTAGCTGCATCACGTGTAGATGGTAGGTCAGGGACTCTTTATTTGTCTGGAAGGGGACTGCCCTTTTCTTGCGTCCTTGTGATATAAAGTACTCCTTATGTACGTCGATGAAGGTCCTTATGTACAGTCATCCATCCATCCATCCATCCATCCATCCATCCATCCATCCATCCATCCACCCATCCATCCATCCATCCGTCCATCCATCCATAGATCGATCGATCGATCCATCCATCCATCGATCCATCCATCGATCCATCCATCCATCCATCCATCCATCCATCCATCCATCCATCCATCCATCCATCCATCCATCCATCCATCCACCGCCTATCCATCCATCCATCTTTCTATCTATCTAGTATACGTCAATATTATCTTTCTCTATATGATTATATCTATGTATCTCCTGTACTTGATACTTACCCCAAAATGAGAGGATTGTTTTTGGCATTGTAATAAGATGTGTGCGTCAATACTGCAGCTCCGGTATGCCATGCTAGAGGGGGTAGTTCTGCAGTTCTACAGTCTTGTATGCTCGAAAGTTAGTATGTGAACTGGCTTTGCATTTTTATCAAATTCTGTTGAAATAAAACCTGTAGTTCCTCAAATGTCTCCCGTGTTTCTGTGAGGTATATCATCCCTGATTACTAGAAGGTATAAATTTGTGACTGACCTTGCTCAAGAAGTACGAAGAAGAAGAAATTGTTGACCACCCCTGGATAGAATACGACGCCATATTTGATGACGTAGTTTTACCCTGTGAATATACCGTAGTGCCCCTCTCCTCTCTTCTCTTTCAAAGTACATTCGAAATTATTCTGGTACCATGTAAGAGTTCTAACTTGAGGATATATTTAGATATATTATAACCGACTGCTATCAAAATGATAGCACTCAGTTTTGTTCTGCATTTTGTGCGTTTGTCGCACTGAGGCGCATGTGAGCCTTTACGGGCAAACAGATAGAATTTAGGCCGAGCATGACTTAAAAAAAGACAAGCAGGGCAATCAAACAAAAAACATAAAACATTCAATTTTATTCAGGAGAAAATATTCGCTAGAAAAAGTCATAAAATTGTCAGCTAACATTGCACCGTACTGATAAAAAATATCAAACAAAACTAAAAAAAAGTCCAACAGTCCACAGGAAAATATATACAAACGTTGTGAATACCAGAGGACAACAAAGCTACGAGAATTTGCATTGGACAGCATTATACTTTTTATCACATAGATTGGGCCTGAGGTAGCAAATTTTCAAAGGTTAAGCATGGGTTGCTAAGTTACTAACTAGCATATCTGACTAACATTAATAGTGTAGATTTCGACTCTCTAGTATTGCGTAGTTGTAAAAAAAACACAACCTTCAAAACACTGTTATCGGCCGTTGGGAATATCACTGGAAAGATCAAATTATAGAGTTTGACATTTCAAGCACATTTAAAGTGCTTTGACTGTTAGAAAGTTGGAACGGACCTTTTCTTGTAATGTTACAATTACTTTATGTAACTCGCAGCACTTGGTACGACATATGTTCGTCAGAGGCAATGGTAGTGTTTTTTTTCACCATTGAAAGAAAAACTGACAGATCAAATTGGCCGAATGATTCCTTGCCAGAAATCTAAGGACTTGCTTGTATGTGTCCTGTTGACTACAACACTGTTTCTTTAGCCTCCATGAATTCTTTCTCCGTGAAGTTAAGATTGACATCGAGCATGTCTAAGGAAAACTGAGACGCCTTGATGACGTCACCCATAGACAAGCTGTCCAGACGTCTTGAAGGCGACTTCTCTTCCTCCTCCGGTCCTTGAGTCGACTGTCTTCTGACCGCCATGAAAGCCACAAATGACCAGACCAGGGCGCCGGCCTTCAGGCCTATTCCTACACCTACAAAGGCCTGGAAAAATATCAGAAAAAAACAACATATATCAGAAAGGTAACATTTGCAAAGCAAATGTATACTAGTAATGTTTACCTTCGCATATGGTCTGCTCTGTTAATTCTTACTCAAACACATTATAACGTTATATGGTGACAGGAGTCTTAATCCCTCCTGTTATAAAATTGCAACATGATGTAACCCAACAATAGTGACCATGGTGACAGACGCCTGGTTCAAGTTTTTTGTTTGGAGAAGGAGAGGAAGAAGAAAGCAAAAACAGCCATGACACATTGACAGGATGGTAAAAGTGGAACAATCTGCACTATTGACAGAATCTTCCTGTCAATAGTGAGGAAATTGTTCTATTGACAGGATGGTCCTGTCAATAGCTTTAGACTCAGCCAAAAGACTTTGCGCAGGTGACTGCCGTAAGGCCACGCCGACTTAATTTTATGGATGACATCCGCGCGCGCATTGATTTTCGCCTGTTGTCAAAAAAAAAAAGATAATGTCCACCGAGGCTCTGGCCTGGCTCTAGGCCTGGGTAATCCATGATATTTAGCGACAATACGGAGCCGGGCACCCAGGCTGCCGAAGCTCCACGACTCAAGAACTCAGTACATACGTACAGTGCCGATTCATAAATTCCGCAATTGCGCAAAAAGCCAGCATGTGCCAGATTGTCGTAGACGTCGCTAAGTACTGTTGCTAAATCACAATACCAGCTTTGTATTCCTGTAGTTTTGTAGCATTTTTATTTTTGCCCGGAATTTTTTTTTATTCGCCCGCGCGCACTAGTTTGGGGGTCTTCAGAGGATGTCATCCAAAAAATTAAGGCAGCGTGGCCTAATATGTCGTAAAACAGGAGATGTTGTACTGACCTGTCGCAGTAAGGTGTTATCGTACAGCCAGCAGGACCCCCTCTTGCCGCAGACAGTACTCCACATCATACAGGACGTGTCAATGGCGGCGCCGAAGTAGATAGGAGCAGGGATAGAGGCTGTGCATGGGGGGATACGGGATAAGAATAGAGCTTAAATGCCACGGCGACATACCTAAGACGTCATCTAGCACATAAAGAATAAAAATCTTTCAAAAGACCCCCTCATCTCATCTATTCCTAGGTCTAATCATCGAAAAGAAAGAAAAGAAAAATATTTACATTTCAAACATATGTTAAACTAGAAAGGCCAATATTTGCTTTGGAGCAAATACAGCGATGGGTTCACCACATTTTACGACATGGCAGGGAAAGAATGAGAAACACAAGGGAAAAACAATGATTTACATTGATATAACTATAATATGAAGTAAAATACAACTAAAACAACAGTTGGATAGCCATTACCTACTTTATTGGTTAGGATTTTTAATTGCATAATGCAAACTGTTGATTTTCAAAAAAAAAAAAAACGTCCATGCCCCGCATTCCAATGCTGGAGCAGGAAAGCTTGAAATACCTACCAAAACACTTGAATAAAGACATACTGTCAGTATGGAAATGCTCTGTGCAGGTGTTAATCAAGTTAAATCCCAACAGCCAATCAGCAAGAAATGCTCTGTGCAGGTGGAAATGCTCTGTGCAGGTGTTAATCAAGTTAAATCCCAACAGCCAATCAGCAAGAAGTATAGAGGAAAGCTGCATGCCTATTGGTTGATGCCCTGCATTCCATTGTGATGACTCATGCCCAAACGTGGTAAACAAGGCACACTAACACAGTAATACATTTGCTATAACACAGCCAAAACCATTCTAAAAGCCTGTATCACAATAATTTAAAAAACGCCTAGGGGTATTTGCCCACTGTACCTCCATACCAAATTTCAGGACCTTGGGCCCTAAAATGAAGAAGCTGAATCCATTTAAAAAATGGCAGGAGAAGGAGGAGAAGAAGAAACATCAGAAAAAGCAATATGGGTTCACCACCACTTCGTGGTGTGGTGAACCCATAAATACATCTTACATTACATGCCCTACCACAACATGAAGATATTTGTTGTACTTACCAAAAAGCCTTGTAGCGAGGTACTGTAGACCCAGGGCGAACGGTTTGTCTTCTATGTCCACCGCTCTGCAATGGAGAAAAGTTACAATATTCAAGGCTTGATCCACATACGTTAAGACAGAGAATTACTTTATTGTTTGTGTTTGTTTGTATGTGTTCTGTGTGTGTGTGTGTGTGTGTGTGTGTGTGTGTGTGTGTGTGTGTGCCTGTATACTCAAGGACGACATAGGATTTCATAAGACACCTAGGCCTTGTTCTAGCTGCATCACGTGTAGATGCTAGGTCAAGGACTGTTAATTTGTCTGGAAGGGGACTGCCCTTTACGTGCGTTCTTGTATACGTGTGTGCGTGTGTGTGTGTTTGTGTGTGTGTCTCTGTGTGTGTGTGTGTCTGTATGTATGTGTGTGTGTTTGTATGTATGTGTGTATGTGTGTGTGTGTGTATGTGAGTTTGTGTGTGAATGCATGCATGTGTGTATGTATGTATGTGTGTGTGTGTCAGAAGTGTGTGTGTTTGTGTGTGTGTGTGTGTGTGTGTGTGTGTGTGTGTGTGTGTGTGTGTGTGATGTGTATGTGTGTGTACATGATTGTGTGTGTGTATGTACAATTATTCAAATGAGACCCACGTTCTCAGAAGCAGGTTTTACCTGATAAGCACCATGAAAGCCGGCGCCTGCCCCACAGCCGTGACGATGGCTAGGAAGAACATGAAGACGACAAACGGAACAGCCTTGGCTGAGCAGGGAGTCGGACACACCCCCGGCGTGGCGTGCAGTCCACCTTTTATACACGCACATCCGGTGTAGTTCTGAAGACATATACACAGCACTGATCATACGTGTGCCACTGAACCTCAAAACGGCATGTATTAGTTCTGTCAAACGCTTCTTTTCCATGGGTAGTTTTATCTAATTATAAGACGCTTATTAATCTTAACAAAACTGAAAGCTTTTCTAAATTGATAAACATATGAGGTACGCTAAAGATAATACTATTTTTGGATTGTCGTGAAATGGATTCGAACTGTGGAGGGTATTGCACGATGTAGTAATTTAATCGGGTATTACATCACAGGTGGGGTCGTGTGGCGCAATCGGTAGCGCGTTCGGCTCACACCCCAGAGGTCGTGGGTTCGAACCCCACCCGTGTCTTGTGCCCTTGGGAAAGGCACTTTACACGACTTTCCTCACTTCACTCAGGTGGAAATGAGTACCTAGCTTCGGCTAGGGACGTCCCTCGGATATGGCTAGGGATATATCCCTTTAATACGTTAAATGGAGGTCCCGTGTTTGGGGAGAGCCACACCCCACGCACGTTAAAGATCCCACCACACCTTTCGAAAAAGAGTAGGGGCATGCCCCGGTGTGCGATGGTACAAACACTACTGTATGGAGTTGGTGATTCACTTCAAATCACCCGAATGGAGGCCTGGCGAACCTCTGTTCCGTATCAGCCACATGGTGATTACATCACCACACATGGTGATTACATCATCACCCGGACGGAGGCGTGGCGAACCCGTCTTGTAGTAAGCTAACGAAAGGGTATGCCACCTCGTAAGGTGCGGTATAACCCCGACCAATACGGTCGACCGATGATGATGATGATTACATCACTTCCTGAATTTTTCCACATACTTCCCACGTACCCCACCCAACGCGTGCTCAGTTACCTTCAGGCTTAACTACTTAACCTACATATCAATAAACTGTCAAAATCACCTCCCATCCACCATGCAACCGAAGCTGTCAAGACGAGCAGACATACAAACGGACAACTCAGCCACCCAAAACAATACTTCCTTACAAAAACCGATCTAACCGATGGAGTTACTCCGTCATGGAACCCAAGCTATCAAGACGCACAGACACACAAACGTATAACTCAGCCATCCAAAACAATACTTCTGTGCGATCTAACCGATGGAGTTACTCCGTCATGGAACCCAAGCTATCAAGACGCACAGACACACAAACGTATAACTCAGCCACCCAAAACAATACTTCCGTAAAAAAAAACAACGATCTAACCGATGGAGTTATCCCGTCCGCCGCTAGGATCGTCCCTGTGCACCCGGCGAAGCACGGGCTGAAGTACGTTATCCAATCAGCGCCGCAGACAGGTTCAAATGTGGTCTCCTGGCAACCGCAGTGACCGTTACACATGTTGGGCAGGGTGATGTTGATCATCCATGGTGGAGTCATACCTGTGTTTATAATATGATTAGGACTTTAGATTATGTACACTGACTGTATCTTTGGTAAATATTTTGTCTGACCATGGAGACCCTTACATCTTTCCACATGGCGTCATTGAAAAGCGGCCTGTAGCCCAATTTGAGCTCATGAATAAAGAATGGCTCAAACAAACAAACAAACAAACAAACAAACAAAAATAACAACATACCTGTGTTGTTCACGGCTGGTGACGCTGTGGTCTTGTAGACCGTGGACTGTACCATCTCGTGATGATGTGGGGGTGTACTGTACATGTAGGCAGGCTCTCCAACGGTCGAGTTCAGGAGTGAATTTGCAATCGGAGTGGGTACAACCGGAAGTGACGTCATGGAGATATTTGATGTATTTCCTGCCACCAGACCCGGACTCATGTCAGTCAATCCAGGAATGACTCCATAGAAACTGTTACGGAATAGAGTATGATAAATCTTGATCAACAGTGAGCTTGAATAGTATGGTACCTGTCCTTGGTACTGAAGGTGCATTCTAGACAGTAAGAGATTTTATTCATCCAGAATTTTTTGTTTTGCGTCCCTCAAATTGCATAGAATGACTTCAAAACTTTTGAAGAGTGAAGAGGACTATTTCCTGAGAGGGGTGAAAGAGCCTACTAGTATTTACATCAGGGCCCATCACCCATCACTCAACCGCGACGGGGGCTGACATCGTCTACCAGATACCCTTGACGTCACACTTTCAAAGAAGCCACGTGACAAGCTCCACTGGGTCAATCTACTGAGGAAGACCAAAGTGACTGGTCGAAAGCTCTAGGTGAGAGAATTTTGTTGTGTTGGATCAAAAGTTTTAACCTTTAAACAATTTTTGAAGAGATTATATTACAGTCTTACCTGACATACGGTAAAGTCACCCCCGCCAGGTACATGTTGGGACACTCGAACGTGTACAGCACACAGAACATGGCGAACGACACGATCTGCGTGCCAAAGCAGAAGTTGATGCATCCCGGCATGCCCCACTTGAAACGCTTGACCAGGTAACCGCCAAGGATGATGCCGACTGCAGCGCCCGGGATACTTGCTACACCTGGGGTGAAGGTATGCACGAGGAACATCATATGAGTGATAGAATATAGTTTTTCATTGGTTGACTACAAACCCCGAAAGAATTTTAAATGCAACTTGCCGATTGGCGGAGGGTAACAAAGCATCATCCCCAGGTCAAATGGTTCTGGATAACTAACGGTTCAGGATACGCAGGGATCATCCAGAACAGTGTCTGAGTATGTTTGTGGATAAAGCACGGTTCTTGATACGGAGTTAGTATGGTTTTGGATAGGGTACGGTTCTGGATACGCGTGGATTATCCAGAACCATACCCGGACACGGTTTTGGATACTCCAGGCGTATCCAGAACCGTACCCTATCCAAATCACGGTTTTGGATATACGTGGAATATACGAAAGTGTGTTTACATCTCTGAGTATGGTTCTGGATAAGGCACGGTTCCGGATAAGTGTGCATGGACGGTCTACAACCGTGTCTGAGCATGGTTCTGGATAAGGAACGGTTCTGGATACTCGTGTCTGAGAATGGTTCTGGATGCGACACGGTTCTGGACTCAGCTTACCGACGAGAAAGTTGGCCGCGGACGCGGACAGACTGAAGGTGAGTTCCATGTACTTGGGCAGGAACACGATGACGGCGTGAGTGATGTTGATCTCGAAGATGCCCATGATGTTAACACTGATGAACACCAGGTTAAACAGGATTCTCTTTAGAGCCTGGAAAAACCCTGCAAGAAATAGGAAGACAAGGATGAATGACACGAAAATTCGTGAAGCGTTTCATATTTTTGTGGGCTCGTGTAGCGTGAAGGTAGCGTGTTTGGCTCGGAACCAAAAGGTCCCGGGTTCGAATCCTGCCATGCCAACGATCTTGTGCCTTTGGGAATGGCACTTAATACGAATTCCTAACTTCACTCAGGTGTAAATGAGTATCTAGCTTCGGCACTCAGCACTCCTGTAGGCATGGAAGTTTTGGGGGATTCGACTTTCTATCGGAAAATGCTGTATTAAGGCAGGGAACGTTAATATCTCTGTTGCAACATTTATTACAAGATATGGCGACGACGCACTTAAGTTTATTCATCTTATTTTATGCCGCCTTCAACGCAGACAAACGCAACAGACATACTTATTTTCACCTTAGTAAAGTGAGGAAATGCGTGCAAAGTGCCTTTCCCAAGGGCACAAGATCGGTGGCATGGCAGAATTCGTAGCCTCTACCAGGCTTGAGGGCGCGGCTGGAAATAGTAGAAATTGGCCAAACAGAGAAATAACACGCCGAGGGAGTTTAGCCATCCAGTTTACAGTTTGCCGGCCCACAAACTGTAAGGAGGCTAAGGATTCGAACTCGGGACCTCTTGGTTCCGAGCCAAACGCTGTCGTTACACCGCACGACCCCACACGTTGTTTACATGTCACAAGAATTGTAAACATGCAGCTTGTACAGCACATAGCTTGCACTTAACAATTCAAACATTAGTGAAATGCTAAGCATATGTCTGCAAATGTTTGGCTTTGTTTTGTTTTGTTTACTGGGTCAGCCATGGAATGTAGAAATTCGGTCGACGTTCAAACATGTACAGCGACTACTTCGTTTACTTGAACTGTCATGTACATACTTCAAAGAGACATAATGTCTCATGAATAGAATAATTAACGATAATATTTGTAAAAATGTGACGTTTATGTGAATTTGATGAAAAAAATGAAAAATCATAATGTGACTACGATAAAAAAGTGAAAAAGTTATTTTCAAAATGTGAAATCATACGGACTATCAAATCTTGCGCTATTGTCTGAAAACTGGAACGGAATGATTTTTCGATAATGTCAAGAAAGGGACGTTATTGTCCCAGACTTCAGAGTGCCATATTTAAATGGACAGTGGGCAAAAAGGGCAAGGACACACATGCAGAAGTGGCAAAATGGTACAGTCTAGCCGACTCTAGCGTTAAGGGTGTCCATTGGTTCAGAGTCTCCGTTTCACACATTTCCTCAAAATTCTTCTTTCTGTATATCCGGTATAACCGCCCTTCGGCGTAAGACGCCAGCTTCGCAGGCACGCGGCGCGGCGGCAGCTGGCTATATCTAATACACCGAACGACTTGTTACACCTATCCATTGAACATCTATCCCTAAACATTGTCTAAATGATAATGCCCCTACTGTACCTGGTGACAGCGAGTTCCACCATACAATAGTTTTTTGTTTTACATTTCTTGAAGTTGTTTTGCCAAATTCACGTAAAAGCTATATTTATATTCCTGATAGTGTAAGAAGAACAATATATAATCTTAATGGAGTAAAATTTATTTCCAAATTGTTTTGATAATGATGCATAGGTTTTTTATATGGCTCACAACATTTTCCTATCGACTCAGGTCACACACAGGGTAGAAAATATTGAAATATAAACTACTTTTCGTCTCCTTGAAACTCACCAAAGAAGATTTCCTTCGCTGTCTTTGTCTGAAGAATGTCTTCCACCTTCTCTTCGTCCTCGTCTTCATCTTCTTCCCTGATCGTGTCCATCTTCGTCTCTTCGGGATCCTTCGTGTCGTCTTCGGGCTTCGGCAGGGCCCTCGGGAAGAAGAAGAAAGGGACGGACACGAGGAAGAGGAGGAAACTGCCGATGAGCAGACCGAGCCACCAGGCTCCTATCCACCGGGGGTCTCTGAAAACAGCAGAACAAGTATAATTGTCTTCATTTGCAAAATCATGCTCGAAGGGTAACAACATGTGTAGGCTTAAAGAAGTAAAATATAGCAATAGAGAACATGCGACTACTGTCTGATCAACGTATAAAATACTATTACGTTTGAAGTCACTTCTTCTTTGAAAGCAGTGGATAGTAGTCCCTCGTTCTGCATAATTGTGGGTTTGTTATCTTTGTAGAAGCATACTTTTTGGTGATCTTCTAGGTGGAGATCGTGGCAACTGTGTGAAATAATTTGTTTCTGTCGGTCTCAGAATGGATACACTTAGGCCATGTTGATTTGATTATATGGATGACATCCGCGCGCGCATGAATTTTCGGCCGTTTCCAAAAAAACTGTAAATCGTACAAAACAGTTGCAAAATGAGCAAAAATATACCATAAGTTACAAAAAAAATTAATAAAAACTATACCAATGTCGTAGAATGGCAAAATCAAACGAAAAAAGACGAAATTGTAAAGAAATGAACTTGAAGACTAGATTATTCGCCAAACCATATTCTGTCCCATTTGTTCAACCCTCATGACCACGTAGATTTCATAATGAAAACAACTTTTTTTTTTGCAAAACTTTTATTCGCACGCGCGCATCAGTTTTGGGGCTCCCGGAGGATGTCATCCATATAATCAAATCAACATGGCCATACTGATAAAGTATATTTGATAATGACATAACGAAAAACGCCGGAACTAGGTGATATTTTAGTGTCAGGCAGTCGACAAAGGGATAACACATGCACGACTGTCGCAAGAATGTCGCGAATCTGTCGTACAACGATTGTGACAAGGCCTTTACGAAGAGTAGTTCTTACGATGGAGTGATGGTGACGGAGTCCAGGTCCACCCGGTCGATGTCCACGAACATGTTGACCATCACGGCGCTGATGATGAAGCCGGCAGCCGGGGACAGAACCAGCATGAACCAGGAAACCGCTAGGGGGAGAACCGTCAGGTACATGTCAGCTTTTTACAGTTAAAACTTTTATTCCATCACAAAAGGTAAATGTTCTCATCTAGTCAAAGTCAAGTCAAGTCAAAGCCTTTATTTTTCTTCGAAATGCATGTTCGGCGCAAGGCCGCTTTTCAACAAGGTCGAAGTTAGGGCTTTCGACTAGTCATTCTGGTCTTCCTCAGTTGACTGACCCATCAAGGGTTAGGTGTAACAAGTCGATCGGTGTAATGTAGCCAGCTGCCGCCGCGCTGCATGACTGCGAAGCTGGTGTGTTACGCCGAAGGGCGGTTATCAGCTATACAGATACAGGTACAGACCCAGTGAGACTTGTCACGTGGCATCTCTGAAGTGTGACGTCGACAAGGTTTCTGGTAAACGATGTCGGCCCCCGTCGCGGTTGAGTCTAACGGAAGACCAGAGTGACTCCTCGAAACCTCTACTAGTAGGTGAGAAAGTTTACCCTAAAGTTTGTGTTGGAACGAAAGTCTTAATTGTAAGCATGCAATATACATTTGTATATAGATATAACTTTATATGGCACAACGAACTCTACGTGATACAACGTATGATGACTTCCATAACAGTTCTAGATACTCTACAAAAGACTTTATATTATATATAGGATGGCACCACAGTTTCAGTTTGGTAGATATATACTCACATATGTACAGTGATGCACTGTTCTTGGGGGCGTGGTCATCTAGATAAGCCACGCCTATAGTCATCATGGGGGTGGAGCCTGCTCCAATCAGAAGCTCTCCCAGCATCAGTAAACCGTAATATGATCCACCTGTGGTTGTGGAAATAGAATGAAATAGATTTGCCAATAGCAGGAAGTTGATACCGACCCCCGTCTCGGTTGAGGGCTATTTGGTTTGTCATGATGCAAATTGGTATCTGTTCCGTAAAATGCAGTTACATAGCTAACTGTATCTACTGGAAAACCACAGTGCGTGCTATGCCTTGTTTGCGGCGTACTGGCCATGTGAAGTAAAACAAACAAATAAACAAATAAACAAACAAGTAAACAAACAAAGCAATCCTTACCGCCAGCGGCAGATTCCTGAGCTGCAGTACAGACGTCACTCTCCTCAGAGTGCCCGACATGACACGTGTTGGTCGCGTTGTCCAGGGAATGGGCTTCATAATCATAGCTGCAAACACAGGCATTTCATGAATTTCATATGACTGTGTTGTGATAAGGAGCCTTCTCTTAGGTAGTAATGATATAGAATGAAATACGTTACATTTTATGTATGTGGGGACTGAATGGTTTGACCAATGGCTGGTCTCGTCTTATGACGGATTGAGCCTCATTTACAGCCAATGAGGGACCAAAATTCATTGGCCATTGCGATAATTTAAAAAAGATATTAAATTTGAGAAATCATTGAAAAACCTTGGGAATCATCGGGTGCTAAATGAAGGGCTATTTGTCTGTGATATTCATGCTTTTCCACTAAGTGAGAGGAGACAAAACTTGATTTGATGCTAACTAGCTAGTGTCAATAACTGATCATTAACTAGGGCTTTTCTTCTGTGATTCTATGCTTTTCCACTTGGTCAGGAGCAGCTAAACCTGATTAGATGGTAACTAGCAGATTCGATATTGATAACTGATCAGTAACTAGTTAAGCTAAATTGATTAGTTGCTAACTAGTTAGTTTCAATAACTCATCACTAACTTTCCCATGAAGAAGTGCGGCATCGCCATGAAGAAGGCCCCCCAGTCCCATGGAGCATGCGCCGAGCCCGAGGATGACGGGACGATGGCTCCTCCCCCCAGGTAGCTGACGAGGCGACAACACAGAGGGCCGAAAACTCCGCCCCACTGGCCAGGGAACCGGTGGACGAACTGGTCAGCTTAAACTGCTTCTCTATAGACGTCAGGACGCCTTTGAAGTAGCCACTTTGCACGAATCCCTAGACGAAGAAATAGATGGTAAGTGAATAAAAAATACGACAACACAGAGGGCCGAAAACTCCGCCCCGCTGGCCAGAGAACCGGTGGACGAACTGGTCAGTTTAAACTGCTTCTCTATGGACGTCAGGACGCCTTTGAAGTAGCCATTTTGCACGAATCCCTAAAATAAGAAATAGATAGTATCCTGATGAAGGCGACAGTAGGCGTTGAAAATTTGATCCTTGTTCACTCTCCAAGCAGAGGTTTGGGTTTTGGCTTATTTTTGGCGTATGGGGTTTGATTTCGTCTTCGAAGGCAGTGGATAATAAGCAGTTTTGCGTAAGTTTTTTTGAACAGATCTTTATTAAGTATAACTCAATACAACGCACAACAATACATGGCATAATGTCAAGAGTGTACCGTACGTACATCGAGCATAGTAAGGCTTAAATCTAAACTTCATAATCATTAGTCTTACAGGTAAAGTTTTGCGTAAGTTGCAGAGTTTCATGAATGTTTTGTACACAGACTAATGAACATTCGCGGTATCAAATAGCTCTCTATTCTACCAGAATGTTAACATTCCACTGCCTGACCCTGTACTAACCAACAGAGAACAAAATGTCTATACCCTGGTCAACTCGGTCAACTCGGTCAACTCGGTCAACTCGGTCCACTACCCTGGTCAACTCGGTCAACTCGGTCAACTCGGTCAACTCGGTCAACTCGGTCAACTCGGTCCACTACCCTGGTCAACTCGGTCAACTCGGTCAACTCGATCAACTCGGTCAACTCGGTCAACTCGGTCAACTCGGTCCACTACCCTGGTCAACTCGGTCAACTCGGTCAACTCGGTCAACTCGGTCCACTACCCTGGTCAACTCGGTCAACTCGGTCAACTCGGTCAACTCGGTCAACTCGGTCAACTCGGTCAACTCGGTCAACTCGGTCAACTCGGTCAACTCGGTCAACTCGGTCAACTCGGTCAACTCGGTCAACTCGGTCAACTCGGTCAACTCGGTCAACTCGGTCAACTCGGTCAACTCGGTCAACTCGGTCAACTCGGTCAACTCGGTCAACTCGGTCAACTCGGTCAACTCGGTCAACTCGGTCAACTCGGTCAACTCGGTCAACTCGGTCAACTCGGTCAACTCGGTCAACTCGGTCAACTCGGTCAACTCGGTCAACTCGGTCAACTCGGTCAACTCGGTCAACTCGGTCAACTCGGTCAACTCGGTCAACTCGGTCAACTCGGTCAACTCGGTCAACTCGGTCAACTCGGTCAACTCGGTCAACTCGGTCAACTCGGTCAACTCGGTCAACTCGGTCAACTCGGTCAACTCGGTCAACTCGGTCAACTCGGTCAACTCGGTCAACTCGGTCAACTCGGTCAACTCGGTCAACTCGGTCAACTCGGTCAACTCGGTCAACTCGGTCAACTCGGTCAACTCGGTCAACTCGGTCAACTCGGTCAACTCGGTCAACTCGGTCAACTCGGTCAACTCGGTCAACTCGGTCAACTCGGTCAACTCGGTCAACTCGGTCAACTCGGTCAACTCGGTCAACTCGGTCAACTCGGTCAACTCGGTCAACTCGGTCAACTCGGTCAACTCGGTCAACTCGGTCAACTCGGTCAACTCGGTCAACTCGGTCAACTCGGTCAACTCGGTCAACTCGGTCAACTCGGTCAACTCGGTCAACTCGGTCAACTCGGTCAACTCGGTCAACTCGGTCAACTCGGTCAACTCGGTCAACTCGGTCAACTCGGTCAACTCGGTCAACTCGGTCAACTCGGTCAACTCGGTCAACTCGGTCAACTCGGTCAACTCGGTCAACTCGGTCAACTCGGTCAACTCGGTCAACTCGGTCAACTCGGTCAACTCGGTCAACTCGGTCAACTCGGTCAACTCGGTCAACTCGGTCAACTCGGTCAACTCGGTCAACTCGGTCAACTCGGTCAACTCGGTCAACTCGGTCAACTCGGTCAACTCGGTCAACTCGGTCAACTCGGTCAACTCGGTCAACTCGGTCAACTCGGTCAACTCGGTCAACTCGGTCAACTCGGTCAACTCGGTCAACTCGGTCAACTCGGTCAACTCGGTCAACTCGGTCAACTCGGTCAACTCGGTCAACTCGGTCAACTCGGTCAACTCGGTCAACTCGGTCAACTCGGTCAACTCGGTCAACTCGGTCAACTCGGTCAACTCGGTCAACTCGGTCAACTCGGTCAACTCGGTCAACTCGGTCAACTCGGTCAACTCGGTCAACTCGGTCAACTCGGTCAACTCGGTCAACTCGGTCAACTCGGTCAACTCGGTCAACTCGGTCAACTCGGTCAACTCGGTCAACTCGGTCAACTCGGTCAACTCGGTCAACTCGGTCAACTCGGTCAACTCGGTCAACTCGGTCAACTCGGTCAACTCGGTCAACTCGGTCAACTCGGTCAACTCGGTCAACTCGGTCAACTCGGTCAACTCGGTCAACTCGGTCAACTCGGTCAACTCGGTCAACTCGGTCAACTCGGTCAACTCGGTCAACTCGGTCAACTCGGTCAACTCGGTCAACTCGGTCAACTCGGTCAACTCGGTCAACTCGGTCAACTCGGTCAACTCGGTCAACTCGGTCAACTCGGTCAACTCGGTCAACTCGGTCAACTCGGTCAACTCGGTCAACTCGGTCAACTCGGTCAACTCGGTCAACTCGGTCAACTCGGTCAACTCGGTCAACTCGGTCAACTCGGTCAACTCGGTCAACTCGGTCAACTCGGTCAACTCGGTCAACTCGGTCAACTCGGTCAACTCGGTCAACTCGGTCAACTCGGTCAACTCGGTCAACTCGGTCAACTCGGTCAACTCGGTCAACTCGGTCAACTCGGTCAACTCGGTCAACTCGGTCAACTCGGTCAACTCGGTCAACTCGGTCAACTCGGTCAACTCGGTCAACTCGGTCAACTCGGTCAACTCGGTCAACTCGGTCAACTCGGTCAACTCGGTCAACTCGGTCAACTCGGTCAACTCGGTCAACTCGGTCAACTCGGTCAACTCGGTCAACTCGGTCAACTCGGTCAACTCGGTCAACTCGGTCAACTCGGTCAACTCGGTCAACTCGGTCAACTCGGTCAACTCGGTCAACTCGGTCAACTCGGTCAACTCGGTCAACTCGGTCAACTCGGTCAACTCGGTCAACTCGGTCAACTCGGTCAACTCGGTCAACTCGGTCAACTCGGTCAACTCGGTCAACTCGGTCAACTCGGTCAACTCGGTCAACTCGGTCAACTCGGTCAACTCGGTCAACTCGGTCAACTCGGTCAACTCGGTCAACTCGGTCAACTCGGTCAACTCGGTCAACTCGGTCAACTCGGTCAACTCGGTCAACTCGGTCAACTCGGTCAACTCGGTCAACTCGGTCAACTCGGTCAACTCGGTCAACTCGGTCAACTCGGTCAACTCGGTCAACTCGGTCAACTCGGTCAACTCGGTCAACTCGGTCAACTCGGTCAACTCGGTCAACTCGGTCAACTCGGTCAACTCGGTCAACTCGGTCAACTCGGTCAACTCGGTCAACTCGGTCAACTCGGTCAACTCGGTCAACTCGGTCAACTCGGTCAACTCGGTCAACTCGATCAACTCGGTCAACTCGGTCAACTCGGTCAACTCGGTCAACTCGGTCAACTCGGTCCACTACCCTGGTCAACTCGGTCAACTCGGTCAACTCGGTCAACTCGGTCAACTCGGTCCACTACCCTGGTAAACTCGATCAACTCGGTCCACTACCCTGGTCAACTCGGTCAACTCGGTCCACTACCCTGGTCAACTCGGTCAACTCGGTCAACTCGATCAACTCGGTCCACTCCCCTGGTCAACTCGGTCAACTCGGTCAACTCGGTCAACTCGGTCAACTCGGTCCACTACCCTGGTCAACTCGGTCAACTCGGTCAACTCGGTCCACTACCCTGGTCAACTCGGTCAACTCGGTCAACTCGGTCAACTCGGTCAACTCGGTCAACTCGATCAACTCGGTCAACTACCCTGGTCAACTCGGTCAACTACCCTGGTCAACTCGGTCAACTCGGTCAACTCGGTCCACTACCCTGGTCAACTCGGTCAACTCGATCAACTCGGTCAACTCGGTCAACTACCCTGGTCAACTCGGTCAACTCGGTCAACTCGGTCAACTCGGTCAACTCGGTCAACTCGGTCCACTACCCTGGTCAACTCGATCAACTCGGTCAACTCGGTCAACTCGATCAACTCGGTCAACTACCCTGGTCAACTCGGTCAACTTGGTCAACTCGGTCAACTCGGTCCACTACCCTGGTCAACTCGGTCAACTCGGTCCACTCGGTCCACTACCCTGGTCAACTCGGTCAACTCGGTCAACTCGGTCAACTCGGTCCACTCGGTCCACTACCCTGGTCAACTCGGTCAAGTCGGTCCACTACCCTGGTCAACTCGGTCAACTCGATCAACTCGGTCAACTCAGAAAAGTTAAAGACTTACCTCAAAGAACATGAGAAGACAGAAGAACAGAAGATACCATCTGACTGTGGCGAGTCTTTGCAGGCAGGACGGCCGCCATCCTCGGAGCCCACACAGCCTCGCCTCTCGGGAATCTTCGTCTCCCGCCGGTAGGAGATCGTACTTCTTCGGCAACTCTCCGTTCGTGCGCTCGCCTGTCCTCGGCTCCATGTCTGCTCAGGCGTTCTGTGAACACAAACTGAACCGTGAAACGCTTGAAAAGCAGTTTATATATTATAATATCCCCCTTATCAGCATAATATATATAGTATCCAAATCATATCGTCACATCTCAAACTACTTAGCTATTAAGCTATTTAGCCTATATATTGGACAATCGTTGATATGAATCTAAATGGCAAAATGTATACCGGCAACTTGAATTTCCGTCTATTGAAGATGTAGAAAACAATGCAAAATATAAATACATTATTTTGCAATGAGAATGGATTCAACACTATATTTGACTGTTTGCTTCATTTTAGAAGGGTGATGGACAATATTTGAGGGAATGTTGGTCAGAGAATCGTACACACACCTACCTTAAGTGGTTTAAAAGCCGACCTACAGTCGCCACATTTGCTTACATAACCGATACTGGTGTCCAAAATAAAGACTTCCCCGCCCATTCAAACATGGTCCGAGGAGTTGTAGCAATATTAGCGGCACTTCTTGACCGTTCAACTAACCCGTTTTGCAGATAAAAAAGTTGAGTAATATTTACGGGACGAATCTATGGCCAACCCAGGATTTAGGTTATCGAAAGCCGTACGAATGAAGTTGTTCTATCGTATAACTTTACACGAACAAATCATTGGCGAACTGTTTCCGCGAAACGAGGCGTTTAGGAAAGATAACATTTGAACCTGGATCAAATCTCCGTACTTCACACATGTGACCGAAACATGCTGCAACGATTTAGACAAATTTGAACATCAGTCAGGGTCAAAGGTGTTGTAATTCACTTGAACGGACGGACAATGCCCTCCCTACGCGCTCGGATTCGTCGTAAGTTGTCGTACATTAATTGGTCGTAAGCTGTCGTACATTCGTCGTAAGCCGTGGCGCATTCGTCGTAATCCGTCGTACATTCGTCTTGAGCCGTCGTACATTCGTCTTAAGCCGTCGCGCATTCGTCGTAAGCCGTCGTACATTCGTCGTAAGCCATCGCACATTCGTCGTAAGCCGTCGTACAATTATCGTAAGCTGTCGTACATTCGTCTTGAGCCGTCGTACATTCGTCGTAAGCCGCCGTACGATTTGGGCGTTGTAGAATTTTATTGCAAGCTGTGACAATAACGACACCCGACGAGGATCTTAAGAAAGACAGAAGTTTCTGTAACAAGACGGCTGGATGTTGTACGACTTTTGCACGACAATTCCAAGAATGCCCACCGTTTCCGATCGACCCTGAAATTTGCTGTCTCTGATGCGTTTGTCAAAACGTTATGTACATATTGCGTCCTACAGAACAATATCTGCTTCAATTTATGTTCACTGAGAGTGTCAGCAGTTGGCATTATATGAACGTACTGTTCGGATGTTTGATACTTTTACCCAAGCGCCCTTCAAAGCGTTTTGGCATTTAGGTAAATAAAAGGTGTTCAGTACACTGCCTGCTCTGACATTGGTCACAAACTAGGCTGGCGCCGGGGAAGTATCAAATCAATATTTAAAGACTACATGTTAAAAAGGGTGGGGGAAGGGGCAGGTATTTGTTTATTTAGCATGTATAATGTCACGTCCTTGGGGTCAGGGTGTGTGTTATGTTCTGCGATCGGTACAGTTCCTTCCTTCCTTCCTCTCTTTCCCTTTCTCCCTTCTTTCCATCCTCATTTCCTTCAATTAGCTCTTACTTCCTCCCCCTTTCCTCTCTTTATTCCTTTCTTCCCTCCTTCCTTCCCTCTCTCCTTAAGCTTCTTTCTTTCCGTCAGCTTATTCTTCCTTCCCTCCTTCCTTCCTTCCTTAAAAGTTTCTTCCTTCCTCCCTCGATCCTTCCTTCCTTTTCCGCCGGTTTTAGACCATTCTTCAGTACATTCTTTAATCCTTGCATTGTCAGTTTGCAATTAGCCCTTGGGAATGAACTTGCAATAAAGAACTTCTTGAAATTCTATCATTATCATCATTATTATCATTATTACTATTACTATATCATTTGTTGTCTCCTCAGTTTCCTAACAGAATTATTTTGCTAGGTACCTTTTCAAATCAAATGTTGTTAGTAATTGATATTATTATTATTATCACTATTATCACCGTTATTGTTTTCATTTGCTGTTTTTGCTCATACTGCTGCTGACCTGTTATCTATCATTTATTACTTATCGAATGATTTATTATTTATCGTTGGCTCGCCGTTCTATTTACTTCAACGTTCATTATATGATTTGTTAATTCTTTGTCATCACCCTTGTAAATAGTGTTGTTATGGTTTCTGTTATTGTTTATTTTGTTTATTATTTATGTAATCCTTATCAGTTTATATTGGTGGGGGCATTAAAAAGGAGTATGTTCCTGTTTCCCCCAACCTTTTACATTTTGTTGTAATAAAGCTGAAATAAATAAATAAAACAGGAAAACATGGAAAGTTATCACTGATTTTTTTACTCTAAGCGCCTTTGGCTGCCACCTTGTGAGAGGTAATCAATGAGGTTACGCAAAGTTCAGTCCGCTAACCTGTTTGTTTCACCCCACGACAGGTAGATTGTGCTGCACATTTGCAGTCCTTCTCAACATCTATAACAACACACGCACTGGCAGAACATGGCTAACACATGACATGAAACACCAGAACGTGAAAGCGTTTTTCAAAAACAAGTCTTTCTCTCTGGACGTTTTTTTATTTTATTTACTTCAGATTCACCTCAAAACAAGGCTCGTGAGAGTCACTTACATGTTTTGGGTTACAGTGATGACTGCGTGGTCAGATATTTGTTCACCCTTGATTTAAACCGTTGGAGGTTGTAATTAGCGGTGAAACATTCACGGGGAAGCTTGTTCGTTCCACAGTGAAGTGGTTCTGGGGAAGAAACTGTCAGCATGAAATTTTCTCTTGACTGATGGACTATTGAGGAAGAAAGGGTGATTTTCTGCTGTTAAGGTGGCTAAGCGTGTTCTTGCAGAGAATGTTCTGATTGGGGGTACAAGGGAGTGAAGTTCAGCAGAGCATTTGCCGTAGAAATATCGACATAGTAACGCCAGGCTTGCAACATCGCGCCGTTTACTCTGACTTTTATCCTGAGCCACAAACAAAAGCTTTGTCAGCACCGATAGAGTCGCTTTGAAGTCCCTGAGCTGTTATGGGCTTGTCGACAGATGAAAACATGTTGGGTGAAGACTAGGGTCATTTTGGGGACAAAGTCTAGATTACCGGATGTGTGAAAGGCTTGCTTGACGTTCAAATGTTCACCATATGTGTAGAACATAAACTGGTGAACGTACAAAGCACAAAGTACCTAATATCAGCCCAGAAAGGAATAAGAAACGGTCATGCCTTTATAAAAAAGCAACCAAGAATTGTGTTCATAAACTAGTGTTTTCCAAGAACTATCGTAGAGTGCAACTCGTTGCCAACAAATACAGTTGGAGCATCATCACTCGAAAGCTTGAAATAGCTCCTGCAATTAAATGTGCAAAGATTGGGTGAAACAAGTCGTTCGGTGTGATATAGCTAGCTGCCGCCACGCCGCGTGCCTGCGAAGCTGGTGTGTTACGCCGAAGGGCGGTTATACCGGCTATACCGATACAGACATATGTGTACTAGTAGCAAAAGATGAAAAACTCTATTTTACAACGAATGTAGTACGTTCTTACATAAGAAAGTGATCTAAGAATTCTAGACGTTAGAAATTCCTCTTATGAGCTCATTCTTCTCCCATACCACACACTCCTGTATTGGGTAGCTTATCCTTATGGAACTATAGTTATGTACCAGTAGTTGCCATACTTTGTACCCTGTACAATTGTTGTGCAATAGATAAATAAATATAAGGAAAGACCGAGGCAGTATCTACAGTAAACACGAATAGATTTTCCTGCTGATTTTGAAAGAAAAGAGCAGTATTTCACCGTAAATCTTAATATTGTGATTTTGAAAGAAAACGGGCAGTATTTTACCGTAGATCTTATTGTCAATAGCATTGGAAGATAAGTAACGCTACCCCTACAAAAGTGTAACTTTAAGTAGTTTGGCACACGCGACTTAAACCTGCTTTTTACATTTCGATAAATGAAAAGAACAGGCGAGTGGCTACATTTGGTAACTTGATTATTTCCCCACACTATTAAACATGAAAGAGAATTCATAGCTTGTCTCACTGTGGTAATCTGAATGCCAGCCTTTGAAAAATTGATATGTAAAACGCTCTAGTGCTTTTCAAGATTATTGTGGGCAGGAATCCAGGATTCAACAGGATCGCATTACGTGTTCGTAATCCTTTTAATCCCTTCCCACATACGTTATACGTGCACGAGTGCGTGAATGAGTGAATGAATGAGTGATTGAGTGAGTGATTGAGTGAGTGAGTGAGTGAGTGAGTGAGTGAATGAGCGAATCTATGTTACTCTCAAAGCATATGTTCAGACTTAGGCATTTGACGTATTTTAGGCACTTTTATCGGACTTTCTTTTTTGTACTTTTTTTTACGGTGAACTGAATTCAGACCTGGCCAATTTTATCCTGTCTTGCCAAAACGGCAGAGTACTCGATTTGGAACCAGGAGGTCCCGGGTTCGAATCCTGACATGCCACCGATCTTGTGTCCTTCGTAACGGCACTTAATACGACTTTCCTCGCTTCACTCAAGTGCAAATGATTGTTTTCCTGTCCTGTATTTGTCCTCTACATTGGCCGCGGCATAGAATAAGTTGAAATAACTTGAGTGTGCCGTCACCAAGTGTCTAAGTCATGAAATGTTAGAATAAAGAAAAAAAAGTACATTCTCAGGAAATAATTAGCGTTAACGATGTGATGAAAGATTTGCGCCAACACGGAGCGGTTATCTAGTCTAGACTTCCTTTGACTCGTACCGACAGAAGCGGCCGTGACACAAAACAGACCCGGGGCTGATTTTCTGGCCAATTTCAGGTCGCTACAAATTCGCTAATCTCCAAACAGATCCCTTTCGGTGGCAAGACGGTACCCATTTAGCCTCTACCAGGCTTCGGGAGGCGGTTGGAAAGAGTAGAAATCGGCCAAATACAGAGATAACATGCGGAAAAATGTTCTCTCCCAGCAGACAAACTCCCCCTGGCATGCTATCTCTCTATTTGGCCGATTTCTACTCTTTCCAGCCGCCCCCCGAAGCCTGGTAGAGGCTAGTAGCCAGAGAAGTTTGTACGGCCACCGAAGGTGGCTAATGGACACTCCTCTGGCCAGTGGACACTGCCTTAAGTAACTGCCGTGCCACCGTATGATCGATCTGCTTGGAGATTACAAATTCGCCACCCCAAAAGACTCAGTCAACGGCGGTCTGCAGGTTTTCCACAGTGACAACAAAGTCGTTAAGCAGGAAGAATTATGGAGGCTCCAATTAAACCGATACACTGTCCTAACCCCTGCTGAAGTATGTAGTATACAAGGCTTCTGTTGTCCCAACTTTGAGCTACTTGACTGTCCCAACTTGGTATGATAGGACCAACCATACAAAACAATCATATACCAATACATACATAAATGTTATTTAGACTAATATCCTGTGATTTGAGTATTATGCGCAAAGAAGTAACTCTGACTCAACT